TGTGCTTCTTGAACTTGAATGCCTTCTTCCTTCACCAAATTAGGGAAGTTTTCTCTCACTATTTTTTTGAATATATTTTCTATCCCTTGCTCATTTTCTTCTTCTTCGGGGACTCCAATGATGCGTATATTATTACGTTTCCAGTTGTCCCATAGTTCTCTTAAGCTGTCTTTCTGTTTTTTAATAGTTTTTTCCTTTTGTTTTTCTGATTGGTTCATTTTTTCTACCCTGTCTTCTAATTCACTGATCTAGTCCTCAGCTTCCTCTACTCTGCTTTTTAAACCTTCCTATGTGTTTTTCATTTCTAATATGTCATTTTTTATCTCTTCTTGATGGTTTTTAATTTCCAATTGGCTTATTTTCAGTGTCTCTATGTCCTTACTCATGGTGTTCAGCTTCCTCAAGATCATGGCTCTGAATTCTAGCTCTGTTAACGTGCCTAATTGCTCCACATTAATCTCATCTTCGGTGGAGGTCTCTTGCTCTTTCATTTGGCTTCTGTTTCTGTGCTTCACCATTTTGGCTATCACTGTGGGCTTTGGAGCCTGTCAAGTTTTCCCTGTGGGTGTTGGTGTTCTGCTGTTTGTGGCTCCCTCTCCTGGGTTTAGATGAGTGAGGGAGGCCCCATGTTAAACACCACTGTCAAGTCTTACTTTCCTGGTTAAAGTTGCTAACCCAGGAAAGGTATTGTCATCCTCTAGCTTTTTGCCTGGAGGCTAGCAGTCGAGGTTACTTGATGAGTTTTTGGTTGTCAGTTGATTGAAAAACTCCCTCAGGTGCTCAGCATAAGGGGATTTCACAAGGGTGGGGCAGATGCTGGTTGTTAATGAGCTTCAATTAGCATTTCAATGGCCCACAGGCTGGGGTTGGATCTCCGAGGGAGGGGCCGCTGCCTCTCCCCAGAACCCTGGGAAAGGGCAATATGGCCACCGTCCTGCGTGGTTGCCACTCAGCAAAAGCTCTGAGTGCCCTCCAAATCCCGAGTGTCCCAACACAGTTCCAATCCAGTCTACCCTCCCTCTGCCGGAGCGCAAGGTGAGTGGCTGTGGCTGTTTTAGCCTCTGTCCCGGCTCTGCGCTGTGGAGCCGCTTGGGAGTGTAACCCGAGGACGCTGCTCATAGCTGAGACCGCTGCCGAGCTGCTGACTGTGGCCTCCCAGCCCCCGTCTCACGCCTTCGCAAGCCTACCAGGATGGAGTCAGTGTCCCTGGTTATATGGTCCTCGCAAGCTGCTTTTCTGTTGGTTTTTCCCGTCGATTTGTCTGTGTTATAGTTGTAATTCCAGTTTGGTTCTGGGAGATGGTCTGTGTAGCTTCCGTTCACTCCGCCGCCATTTTTCCTCATTCTCCATCATTGATTTTTAAGAAAAATCTATGTTTACCATCTCTACCATCATCTGGTTTAGTCATCCAACAAGAAGAAATAAATATGAAATTCCAACAAAAGAAATGAACAAAAGATTGGAGCTAAAGACCTTAAGTGCTTGTTTTGTGCCATTGACTAGATAACTAGAACTATCTGCATTATCTGTGCAGCATGGGTTTATTATTATTTTTTTCTAAAGACATCTCTTTTTGGTGATGACAAACATGGTTTTTGGGGTTTTGCTTTAAAAAAAAAAAAAAAAGCTGGTTTTCCTCAATATACCTTTAAGGATTTTTAAAAATGTTTCATATCTGGTCAAGTTGAGATTTTTTAAGAACCTCATTTTTAATTTGTAATAAAAGATTACAACTTGATTTTTTTCAAAAAAAAGTTAACATACTGCAAGCATCTGTTAATAAAGGTCTTTAATGATTGTCTTTGTGTAAAAAAAAGAAAAGAAAAAGAAAGAAAAATCTGTTTTTGTCCTAATAAAGTTTCAGTGAGACACTGACTTCCTCTTTGACCTTGTGACTTATAATTGTCCCAGCCACAGTCCTCCAGTGGGTTGGTAGTACTTGTAAACAGGAGTGGTTCAGGCCAGTTACTCCTATCCTAAATGAACATTTCAGACTTGCATACAATCCAAAAAGGAGAGAGATAAAAGTTAAGCATGAAGGGCTGCGGCTATTTTTCAGAATTTGTTTTCCCCTAGAGGCAGCTATTTGATTCTCCCTTGGCCTTTGATCATAGAGATTGTCCCAGAAATTCAAGCCACAAACCTCCTGAACATTTGAAATATTTCAAAAAAATATCAAAGCCTTAAAGAAACAGGTTCACTGACACCAAGTAACTGGGATGTTTACGGCAACAGAATAATATCTAATTTCTTAACTTTTATGAAAGTTACTGATATTTGTTCGCACTATGAAAATGTCAGAAAGAACAGACTCCAAACTATTAATGGTGACACCTAGGGAGTAGCATTTGAAGTAGAGATGGGAATTGAAATGTTTAATTTCTTACTGTATATATTTTTTAATGGTTACAATAAACACAATACTTTTTCTAAGTATGAAATGTTACTCTATACATAAGCTTTCAAAAACTGCTGATATATGCAATTTGGGGCTCAAATGTAATGCTAAATATCTCAAGTCACTCCAGTATTATAACATAGCTGGAGTATAACTAGAATAAATTAGGTCTGTCATTTGGCTGTAAGAAGTAATAGAAACTCAATCACAGTGGCTTACCTACATGGAGGGTTGTTTTATTCACAGAATAAAAATATTAGATAATCAGAGGTATGCACAGCAGGTAATTTCATATAATAAAAAGTCCAAGATCCTCTCAGCTTTTTATTCTGTCATCCTTAACATGTACATAGTTTCTCCAAGATCACAAGATGACCATTTCACCTTTAGGCATTTCACCGAAGTGGGGAAGGGCAGAAAGCAGAAGTAATATAGCAACTGACTTTTCCAGGAGCCCTATCCAGCAGACTTTCACTTACACTTCATTGGCCTGTCCTGGCCCGTATGGTCACCATTTCAGCTGCAAAGGAGTCTGAGGACTCCTGGATACATTGCAGCACTGTACAAAACTGAGGTTCTGTTAGCAAGGTCAAAGTGGAGGGTGGATATTGTCTAGGCAACCAGCAGGCTCTGCTGCCAGTGGCTCACCTTGTTACCTCTTCCAAGAAAGCAAGAATACTTCATTTTTGCCTGAAACTAGAGGGTTGTATTTATGGAGAATTGAGAAAGATGTCAGAGAAGCAAGTAGCCCGAGTTTAAAAATGAATACATTTCATTGCCATATTATTTGCAATTTGAAACATTGGAAATAATTAAATGTCTGAAACCTGAAATCAGAAAAATTAGTTGAGAGCCTTTAGTTGCCAGAGTAGCTGGTAAGTGTGTTCTCATCATACCATCTATAAAAGCCTTATAAACATCTCTGGTTCCCGTTATTGTGCATATATAGATTTGCTTACACTTGGGAGCAAAGCATTTAGAGCAGCCCACTTTTGGGCACCTGTGGCAAAGAATCAGGCACCAGGATGTCTGCTGGACTTCCTCTGTGCCAGGAGAATTAACCCTACTTTCTAGAAGGAGAAATAAAACTCTTCCTTAACTGATTTCTTAACTCTTCCATGAAATCCTCCCTGATGCTTCAAATCTATGTTGGGCTCTCTTTTCTGATCGGCTATAGCAATTACCGGCTAATCAAAACCACAAATTCTATATATTGTTATATGGATTTCAGAAGACTATATCTTATTTCCCTAAGTCGAGTGTGTGCTTATCTTATTTCCCTAAGTCGAGTGTGTGATTCTCAACAGCTAGTTCTCTATGATGGGAGAGGCCCTATAAAGCAGGACATCCTTGGGCATCTGAAGGTAGAGAAGGTGCTACTGGAGATGCACAGGTCCATCTTCATGTGCTGGGGCCTTGAAAGACACCCTTTAGCTGGTTTAAAAAGGCAGCATGAATCTCAGAAGGATCTTGTTAGATGACCTTTAAATCACCAAACAGTATGATCTTCCCTTCTTGGGACATATTTTAAACAATATTTTACCTTGGTGCCTAGAAGTGTGTGCTTTCACAGTAGAACATAAACTACATCAGATTGGAGTCATGTGCTTTAGTATAAAGGTCCAACTCTAAACCTGCCCTATGTCAAGAATGCTGCCAGCCCCCCCCCCCCAACGATAACTTTTTCTGTATTCTTGGGGGGTATTTCCCCAGAAGCTGCCATGTGTCCTCCTCTCTTCTCTCTTCTCCATCATAAGGAATCTGACAAGCTCATTCCTAATAAGACAGCAAAGGCTGATGGAATAAGATGTTGCCTTCTCCCCAAAGTACTGTAACAGAGGACAGAAGCACTAGCCAATACAATAGAAATGTAATTATGTAATTTCTGGTATCAACAAAAAAGATTAAGAGGCTTTCTTTTATGTAAGAACTTCCTAGCTGTTCATCAAACTATTACATATGAGTAGCCAACTATTCTCACTGTCAGTAATAAATAGCTCCTATTTTTCATTAATCTACAGGATTTAATAAATTAATTCACACATTATAAATATAATAAAAATCATTTGAATATACATGTTTTCAAAGTGCTGACTGATGAGTTAGGCAGTAGAATACAGTGTTATGATCATGGGTTCTAAGTCTAACTGCCTGGGTTTGTACCTACACCATTGAGCCAAGTTGCCTAAATGTTGTCATTCATCATTCTCCTTATCTGTACAATTGAAGATAATAATGTGACACACCTCGTGGAGTTATTGTGAGGATTAAATAAGACCATACGCATAAACACTTAGAACTTTACCTGACACATAGTTAGTTAATGCTTTATATATTTAGCAGCTATTATTACTAAAACTTTTTAAAATTTCCAAATGAATGAGAAAAAGTATATTTACAACTAAGGAATCACAGATTTTTGGCAGGTCTTTATATTTTAGTTTTCAATGACTTTATAGACTATTCAGCAAAATAGATGGTTCCTATAAGATTGAGAATCATAATTTGCCCACCAATTTCAAAAGGTATATGATAGGGTTCACTACATGACCTTGAAAATTTATTTCTTGTATAAATGCCTGTTTTAAATTTTGACTTCCAGATTGAAGCCATCCCTAAAGATGATACTACATTATCTGAGAGGAGGAGAGAACTCCACAAGGAAGTTGAAGTAGCTAAAAGGAATTTGACCCAACAGGTTAATATCACCTCTCATTTAAGCCTCTAAGAATGATTAACAGTGCTCCACGAAACCTCGTCAATAAGAGAACCAGCAAATAGAGTATGATCCTACCTAATGTTGGTCTGTTTCTTCATCTTAAAGTCCACTCCAACATTAAATTTGAGGAGGAGGGGAGGATGTGCTTGAACCAGCAAAAATTATACAAATTTATGAGATTTTTAAATAGAAGGACTATTGATTACATTTTTAAAAAAACAATGTTTTATTTCATCAATATTGAATGTAAATTTTTCAAATTTTGTTCATTCAAGCCACTATCAAAGTATTTTAAAACATGCTTTTTTGGCTCTTTTTTTTCTTAAAATTACTTGTAAATACAGTCTAAATAAGAAAACATTCTGTCATGTTAAACCTGTTACCATATTTGCACATTCTTTTATAAGATAAAAAAAAGTACTTGGAGCTAAGGCAGTAGAGTTACTTTGTTTTATGTTTTAATAAAAGGAATTCTATATAGGAATTAAAAAATAGTCTAAGATAATGTCCTTAGGTGTTCTTTCAAAAAAATGTCACAATATGTTGTGTTTTTCCAAAGAAAATCTTATCAGAAGCTGAGTCTAAGTTAGTAGAACAGCAACTTGCAGAAGAAAACACACTTTTAAAGGAGCAAGAACGAATGCGAGATCTGATATTCAGCCTTGTCCGTATGACTCAAATCAAAATTGATGAGAAGGAGCAAAAATCCAAGGATTTCCTGAAAGCTCAGGTAACAGCATTTTTGTAACCATCCATAAATTACTACAAGACTTTAGTCTCATTTCATTAGAAAGCTACAATTGTTAAGTCTCTTTCAAATTTCAGTGATGATACAGCTTCCCACAGCAAGACTCAATCTTGCCCTGAAAAATAGATTCAATTAGTGATAGTCAACAATCTGGAGAGAGAAAGAGCTAGATCAATCACAATGAGCAGAATATTTGAACAGATGACAATCAGTAAGAATGAAGTGGTGGACATGGTTGACAACTGCACAGGCCACAGATATCTCACATCCAACTGTGATTTGCCTTGGAACGACTCAAGAGCGGGTCACATTAGAATGCTCTCCTTCCCAAGTTCATCAAGCCATTGTCATTTAAACCAATGCTAAGATAACCTTAGCTACTCCTTTACCAGATGACTTCCCTGGGCTCCCGACGAAGTGTCAGAGCTGACCCAGTTCAACGGGCCCAAACCAAAACAACAATAAAACCAATGGCAAAAACAATCCTCCCGTCATGCTAGCTAAAAATCTAGTGTTAGAACCATTTATTCCACTGAACAATTATGATCAGAGGTTCCCTGTTAAAAATGAATGACATGATATATTACTCAACTAGAAAACCTGAAATTTACCATGTGGCCCAGATAGTGGTCATTTCTAAGGTCAACCTTTGTTCTAATTCTGAGCAAGTATTTATACAGAATAGCATTTCTTCTTGTTCCCCAGATAGAACTCACATCAAAGCATAGTGAGCAATGAGGTTAAATAAAGATTTTGCAGAGAAGACTGAGGAAAAGATCACCACACAACCCACAGCAAACTCTTCAGATTCCCTGTTAACTGTTTATTTTTTCCACCTTAGAACACTTGAGAAACTACAAGAAGTTTAGTATGGCTGGCCCAGTAGAGTTCACGGAGTAGCTGGATTTCATAAAGACAGGAAAGACAGTGGCCAAGGAGGAATGAAGGAAAGAAGGCAGCTTGAGGGAACAGGGTGGCTGAGGGGAGGAGGAGCAGGAGCAAAACAAGGAAAGGAGAGAGCAGAGGGATACTTGTTACAGGGGATAATGACCTGTTTTATGAATTGAACAATTTTCAAATTCATTTCAAAAATCGATACATATGTTATCTGTGGATCAAACCAAACCTCATTATTAAATGTCCTCATTCTTATAAAAGCACATTATTCTTTCTCTTAAAATAGGGAAGTTAAGAAAGGAAAGCTATTGTTTTTGTTAAGTATTCTTAGCATTAAAGCTTGGTCTGTTAAACATTACCTGTAATAAAATAAATTGCCATAAGACAATAGTCAGTCTTATCATTTTATTTTATGCATCATCTATATCCTCCAAAAAAGACAAAGGGTGAAGGAGAAAACCATTGTTGCTATCCCCCCCAAAATGGAGTTGATGATACTAAATTTTTATATCTGTTTAATTCTTCACAACAGAGTTACTTAAATAATATTAGTCTCTTCCAGATTCTTGTTCTCACTGAGAACAACATAAAATTGTCACATGTCAATCTTAGTTCTGATGCCTAATTTCTTTTTAACCACTCATGCCAAATGAGTTTGATTTCACAGTCCTCAAAAGAAGGCCAACAGAAACGATTTCCTCTGGTTTCTGTCAGCAAATACTTCATCTTTGAATATGTTTCTTTCACTAGATAAAGGATGCAGTATCTTTATATTTGAAGAACATAACTAGTGTACTTAGACTTGGTATATTTTTAGGATTTTAAAATTATAAGTGCTCACTTAAAATATTCGTGTATACGCTGTAACATCTTTTTATGGCTGATCTCAGTGTGGTGCTTTATTGAATAGGAAAACACTCAATGTAAAAATAAAATAAATTAAAAAAAGGAAAAGTGCTTTAAAACCATGGCTTGTCTCTCACAAAATACCACAGAGGACTCAATAAAATTTATCAAAACTTACTACAAATCCCCTTCCCTCATCTATATTCCAAAAACTCCTCACCCACCCAGCCCACTCTTGGCTCCCTCAAATGTTCCCCAGACATTTCCCTCAAACCCATCCTGTACAGGCTCTTTCTTTTCCTCCTCTCTTATTCTTCCACTTCCTTAATTAACCCTTTCTCCTCGCTAGTGTGATTTGGTTCAGCTGGTTAGGCAGTTTTCAGATCTCACAGAATCTGTACAAAGGGCTTTTCTTACTAGATAGGAATGAGATGGGGTGAGGCTGACTATTCATATGTTGTTGGTGGTGGGCTTTATTATTATTATTATTATTATTATTATTTCACACATAATTGTTATATTTCAGCAAAAATATAACAGTATTGTGAAGGAGATCAAAGCAAAGGATATTGAAATCAAGATACACAAGAAGAAAAAGCGTGAAATTCATCGAAGGTGAAAGAATTACATTATGTTTATCTAGTTAGGTGGGGGGGGTGCGAGGAACATCCTAATTTCACAAGTTTCAAAAACACTTTTATTTTCACAGACTTGGAGAGTTTGCTAACCTTTATGACACTATTCGAAATGAAAGAAACAAATTTGTTAACTTACTTCACAAAGCTTACCAGCAAGTAAATGAAATAAAAGAAAGGTATAAAATGTCATTAAATGAACTGGAAATTTTAAGAAATAGTGCAGTTTCTCAAGAAAGGTAAGTGGTATAATAACTATTCTCCTTTTAAAGTTTTCTGATTCACTGAACTCTAACACACCCTGGAGATGATAAAGTAGATAATAAAGCCAGAAAAGCCCTTATTCAAACACCTTGCTTTACAGATGACAATCTAAGCATCTGAATGTGATTCCTCATGCTTCTACTCTTTGGGAGCCATCAATTTTTTAAGTGAATGAAAAACTACAGTATATACCTATGCTTACTATGTTTATTTTCATTTATCCAATTAGAATAAAAAGCACCAACTTGATAATTTGCACTTAAAGTTAGAAGACAACCAAATGCATATTAACCAGCATACCCTGGTTGTAGATTTGAAGCATCTAATATGCTTGTGAGAGGCAGTGTAGCGGTTAAGTGGCTTTCTAAATTCAAATTACTAGCTGTGTGACCTTAGGCAAAATACCTTCTCTCTCTGAGCTCACCTTTTTTACCCATAAACATTGTTCTTATTGTATAGGACTTTTTATTATTAAATGAGTTAAACCATGTAAAAATACTCATTAGTATCTGACAAATGGCTGTTGTTTTTTTAATTTATTACTTACCCTGTGCCAAGATCTGCTTGACTCTTTCACTTATATTTAGTCCCAGATCTACCTGAAATGTTTCTGGTGGCCATTATTGCCCAGTTTCCTTTTATAAAGATATTACAAAATGGACCCTGGTGTATGGGTAGTGGAGGGGTAGGGGTAAACGGGGTAAAGAATTTGTATGAAAAGGAAAGTCTAATGTCCTTATCAGGTTCTAATCCTACATAAAAGAAATGTATTATTTATAGAAACCATGCATTCATTCAGCATTTATTGTGATGCTTTATTGAGTCAGGGTCCAGCTTAAGGCCAATGGACATTATCAGATATAACCATCTCTGCCCTTAAGCGAGCACAGTCCTGGGAACACAGAGCAGTAAACTAATTACTATAGTCTCTTGCTTTGATAAAGGAGGTGGGGCAGGAGAGTCTTGGGGCTTAAAAGAAGGATATCCTAATCCAGATGGAGGGGGAATTGAGACCTGGGAAGATCACAGAAATTCCTGAAGAGGATCATGTGATGAATATCATTATTACTATTGTCATTTCAAGGGCTGTACTAAATCAAGAGCTACTTTGCTACTGTTTGTGTTTAGAAGTCTTCATTGTTTTTTTAAAAACTAAAGAAGATTGTCATCTTATCCATTTCCCATTGTTTTTAAAGAAAACTACAAAATTCCATGCTGAAACACGCCAACAATGTTACCATCAGAGAAAGCATGCAAAATGATGTATACAAAATTGTAGCAAAACTTCAGGAAATGAAAGAGAAGAAGGAAGTCCAGTTAAATAACATTGACAGGCTTGCCCATATGATCACAATGATTGAAGAAGAGATGGTGCAGCTTCGCAAAAAATATGAGCGAGCTGTTCAGTGTCGAAATGAAAGGTAAAAATCAGAAAACTACTGGGGGAACAAAGCAACCAAAGGTCCTATTTAAAAACGTTTCCCCTTTTCCTATCTATACTTGACAGTGGATGGTGAGGGACATTTGACATTCAGGTTTTATTAGTTTTGGAGGGGAGGAGGAGTAGCTCTATGTTTTGCCCGAAAATAAGAAGCACTGCCCTGATCGGGTTGCACAGTTGGTTACAGCATTGTCGTGATGCCAAAGTTGCGGGTTCAGTCCCTGGTCAGGGCACATACAAGAATCAACCAGTGAATGCATAAATAAATGGAACAACAAAATCTCTTTCCCTCTCTCAAATCAATAAATTAAATTTAAGAAAAAAAGGAGAGAGAAAGAAAGAAAGAAAGAAAGAAAGAAAGAAAGAAAGAAAGAAAGAAAGAGAAATAGAGAAAGAAAGAAAAAAAAGAGAAAGAAAGCAACTGTCCTTATAAGAGAGACAAGCAAGAGTCTAGTTTGGGGAGTTGCTTACTTGAAGATTAAAGTTCTTTCCCAAATTACCATTCAGGATGCCTCTGACACCACCAAATTATTTCAGTCAAGTTGACATACATAAGTCTTTGGATCACATATCTATTTTTGTGATGGGTTTGTTCATATTATGATATTTATTCAGCCATTCTCTCAGTTTGTTTTCTCAGCAAGTGAATGAACTTTATGAGTAGCATCATTTATTCCTGGCTACAGTTAAATCATTACTCAATTACTACTTTAGCAATTTCCCCAAGATTCTTGTGTTTTGAGAAATATGGCATTTGAGATCGCAGAGCCCTGTAGTAATTACATCTGGCATCAGATTGTTTTTCATCAACCCCTGGTTGTGTCCTGTGTAAGGTTGTGTCCTGTGTAAGGTTGTGTTCTGTGTAAGTGCTGGACCCTGAAAGGACAAAAGGATAATATGGCATTGCTCCTGTTTTCTATTTTCAGGAGAACTGAGATAATGAGAAGAACCAATAAATGGCAAATTAGACAAAATATAGAGCTAAGATTAGTCCAATACAACTATGTAAACACATGTTTTGAGGAGAAGAGAGAGAGAAGCAATTAAAGATTAACTCTGGGATGATGGATATGCACAGTGTGTGGGAAGAACTTCAGAGTGGTGAAGAATACCATTCATTTTCCAAAGGGTTGACAGGTGTTTTCTCTGGGGTAAAAAACAAAAACAAAAAAAAAAAACTTCACATTTGACTCCTGGCACAAATCAAAGCACTTAGGCAGCGTACTCCCAGGCCCTGGTCAGACCCCTGGGGCAGAAATTAGAAATTTCTTACTTTGTTTCTGCCCCATATTTTCCTCACAAAGAGGGGTCTTACCCATGGCACTATTATTCATGACATAATTTGTCTATTTATTAGAAAATTTACATCAGAAACAGTCAACTTTAAAAGAACCTAATGGGTTGGGCAAGTTACATAGAACAGTATCACTGCAGAAATACATTCTCTGGCCCTCTGCCTGGGTACATCTGGTCAGACCTTGGTTGGCAAGTCTGGTCCAAGAAAAGGGTCCGCAGAAAATCAGACTATGAGATCACTTTCTTCATGCATTGGGAATGACGTTCTTTCCCACCCCAGGAAACCTTGGGGACTTGCAGAGATACTATGCCAGCCAACCACATGGTCAGTTCTGAGCTGAGACGCTAAACAACTGTCCCTCTCCTATCCCCCAAAATTCAAAGTGTGGAGTTTAACTAGAAAGGCATTGGTAGATATCGCTTGTCTTCTAGAATTAAGCAATGTTGATGTGTCCGTTACACCCAAATCCAGAGGGAACCACAATAGCTAGTAAAAGTGTGGCCTCGACATCCTCTTAACCTCTGCTCTCAATTTGACCATAGTGGCGTTCAGCTGATAGAGCGGGAAGAAGAAGTGTGCATTTTTTATGAAAAAATTAATATCCAAGAGAAGATGAAACTAAATGCAGAAATTGAAATACATGTCTTGGATGAAAACATCCGATTCCTGAAACTGAAGATTGCTGAGAAGCAAAGACAGATTCATGTGACCCAGAAATTACTGCCAGCCAAGAGATCCCTGGATGCCGACCTAGCAGTGCTCCAGATTCAGGTGGAAATGTGTTCATGAGACACTGTCTGCGACCACTTGCTTTTTTCCTCCCCATCACTATTGGTCTGTAGCTTGTATAAGTTCATACATACTACTCCTGGAACCTGGAAGATCCATAAAATTATGTGGCTTATTTCAAAATGCCGTGGAACACTGCAGCAGGGGCTGGAGCTTCAGATGTCTTTTTTCCCGTGAAGCATTTTCTGCCTTTCCGGGAATACACACCCTCCCAAATCTCAGCTCCAGCTCAGCTTTCTCACAACTCAAAACTTAAGTAATTTCACAACCGCCAGTATAATTGTGTTTTTAATGCTTGCTGGAAAGATCTGGCTCTCTTATTTTTAGTATTCTTGCCCTCTAGAGCCGAGATTGTTGTTTGTTATTAACTAGCAATCACATATAATTAGACTCCTTGTTAACCCTTGCATTTTCCCTGTAATTTAATGACATGGCCTTTTAAAAAGTGTGATGAAGCAAAAAAAACTAAACATGAAATAACAAATAAAAGAAAGAAAATAAGGCTACTTTCTTCACATGTAACAATTGCAATTTTTTTCTTAATGAAATATAAGAAAAATTTTAACTAAAAAAATCTGTGGCTTAATCCAGCTTGTGGGGCTCAGTCTCATCCCATGGACTGAGAGGTCCTGTTAGATTCCTAGTCAGGGCACATGCCCGGGTTTGGGGCTCAACCCCCAGTAGGGGGCATGCAGGAGACAGTCAATGGATGTTCCTCTCTCACATCGATGTTTCTATCTCTCTCTCCCTTCTTCACTCCCTAAAAAAACAATAAGAACATATTTTTTTAAATGTGTGGCTTAAACTTGGAAACATTGACTCAATGTAGGAAAGAACTTTAACCTACAACAAGTTTTCTAAAATGTCAGATTTGTTTCAGATTTTTTCTAATTATAAAATTAAGACATGTTCAGTTAATAATGTTTTGAAAAAATAAAAAGTTTTTAAAGAAGAAGATAAAATTTTATCCCCAAGAGATAATCACTTTAATTATTACAAATCTGAAAGAGATTCTTCTAGTCTTTTTCTATGTGTAAAAGTAAATGTTTTTTATTAGCTCATGTTGTAAACACAGTTTTGGGTCTTACCTTTACATATACATATATACATACATATATATATATATATACATATATATGTGTGTATATATATGTTTTTATTGATTTTTAGGGAGAGAGAAATAGAAACATCTATGTGAGAGAGAAATATCGTCAGCTGCCTCCTGCCAATCTCTCAGTCCATGGGACTGTTGCTCAATACACTGAGCCACACCAGCTGGGCATGTCTTGCCTTTTTAATTTAATCACATCATGAGGATTCACACATTCCCTCATCAGTTGCAACACAGTGGCTGGTCCACCTCTGCACCATGTCAGTGCAGACTGGGGATTCACTCCTTCTTCAGCCTGCATCTACACAAAACCATCTGCAAGGTCTTTGTCTGTGAATTGACGTTCTTGAAGATTTGGGACAACAGTGTGAGAGGGTACGGTACAGAAGTACGAAGAACTTCAAGTTAAATATCAGGGAACCATGTCCTTCAAAGTTCCATAGGGCCACTCTATCACTGGGAACAGTCCCCGCATGTATTACCCTAGCCTAGCTCCATTTCACTGGCCTGTCTTTCCATCTTTCACCCCCAGATCCCCTCCACAGCCTCACCATCCTGATTGTTCCCCAGGCACTTCACATTTGTCTCACTCCATTTTACAGAATAAGTTGGCTCTCTTTAGCTCTTTCCCAAAATACATTTTTAGGGCCATCTTTGCCCATACTAAACTATCAAGATGCCCGAACAGCAAAAAAAACTAAATTCAATAAGGTCCACAACAGAAACATTCACTCTATTATATAAGCATTTTATTTATGTGAATTGCAAATCGATAATTCTATTAAATGGATAAAATTAGTTGTTCTCAAAAACTATATACTTGGCATCTCATGCCATAAAAACCACTTACCCAGGGTGAAATATGAATTCCGTTTACCCAAGAGGAAATATGCATTTAATAATAGTATGCCCTGCCTGACATGAGCATTTACCATTCTGACTGCAAATGAATTGAGACAAATGAATAATGTATTATATCAGTTATCTGTTATACCAGAGTTAGTTCTAAGCTTAGTCTCCACACCTCACTTAATTATTTGTCTACTCAGCACTAACTACATGGGCCCTTTGAAAGGCTTGGTGTGACATTTTGAGCTTGAGGCAAGCCATACAGTGCCTTACAGTGCCGGGTCCCTGTCAGAGCCTGTTATTTGTTCAAGCTGTTGTGTTTTGTGTTTTTTTTCAAAGTCTTCCCATTCTTTGCATTATTTTAGGAATTCTCTTAAGGTTTGTGTTTTTTCAGCTGTTTGAAATAGTTTTTAATCACAGGACAGTTTAATCCAAGAATCATATCCATGAATCATATATTCCTGGTGCTTGTAATAAGAGGTCCTTTTTAGGGATCTTGAAAGTCACATGAACTATTGTAAGGTACAAGAACACCATTTTATATAGAAAAAGTAAACAGTTTTTCCTCAACGACCCATGGGTAAATAAGATCAATCAAGTCACCACTGGATAAGAAAGCACCATATTTTTGCTTCCTATTTAATTTCCTGTTTAAGAGAAGGAAACAGCCCTGGCCGGTTTGGCTCAGCGGTTAGAGCGTCGGCCTGCGGTCCGGAGAGACCCGGGTTCGGTTCCCGCTAAGGGCACGTACTTCGGTTGCAGTTTGTCCCCGGCCCTGGTTGGTCGTGCGGTGGCAGCCACTCGATGTGTCCCTTCACGTCGATGTTTCTCTCTCTCTGTCTCTTCCTCTCTCTCCCTCCCACTCTATCTGTACAAAGAATGGAAAAATGTCCTCGGGTGAGGATAAAAAAAAAAAAGAGAGAAGGAAACATTGTGTTGTTGATAATAAATACAACAAATGCTTAATTACGTATGGATATATACTTTAACTCCATAGTGAAGGCAATTAAGAAGTATGGAAAGGGGAAGAAAAATAAAAAAATTAAATTATTTATGTCACCATTTAAAATTATTTTTGTCTTGGGGAGGGAGGTATCAGTGGGGGGGAAAGGAGAAACATCTGTAACAAAAATAAATTAATTAAATTAAAAAAATAAAATTATTTTTGTCAAGAGGAGGAGCATATATTAACATTTTTAAGCTCTACCTGTATCGTCTTGGACACGTAAAGTTCTTTAAATATATTATCTCATTTAACAGATCAACACCACGAGATTAGGCCTTATTTTCCAATTTGACAGTTAAGGAAACTGGTTTAGAAAAGATAAATGGTTTCCCTGAAATTATGCAGGTTTTCAGTAGAAAAGCTAAAAATGCTGGCTTTTGGTGTTCACCATGTTCTACATCTCTCTCAATAAAACAAAAACTCAGTGTGGCTGCCACTTCTACTTGGCAGTGGCCATATTTCTTCATCTACCTCAAAAGTCTCATTAATTCAACAAATATAGTTGATATATGAGATACTATATTGGGTGTTTACCAAAAAATATATAAATAATTCTGTCTGTTCCTCACTAGGTCATAGAAATTAAGAATTTCATTCTTCTTTGGGAAGCCATTAAACCTATTGCCAGCAAAGGGTTTTAACCCGAAGTGTATTATGTTCTATACTTTGTTTGTTGTCTGCCTTGGCCTCTGTAACAACCTTCAGTAAAGATGTCAAGTCTGCATAGTTTGCAACCACACAACATCCCATGAGTATAACACGAAATGGGAAGTAACAAAGGACTGGGTGTTAAATCAGTTTTTTTGTTGATAACTCAGAAGTCACTGCCTTCTTTGTAGGGTCAGTTACAGACCTCATTCTCATGGTGCCGAGTGAGGAGAAGCATTGTTTAACCTCAAGCCCCAGATGATTGTGTTTTAAGAATTTTCGTCCATTTTTGCCTCTGTCAGTCCTACTGAAAGACACTAAAGACCCCTGGCTATGTGATTTTCAGATTTACAAGCAACTTATATGCATATATGCATAACCCATGGACACAGGAGTGTGCAGAAGGCTTGGGGGTGGGTGGGCACAGGGAGGAGGAGGTCAATGGGAGAAAAAGAGAGGATATCTGTAATATTTTCAACAATAAAGATAATTTTTTTAAAGAAAAGATTTACAAGCAAAAGAGTTAGTTTTAAAGTTAATGTTTCTTTTTTGTTTAATAGTTTTCACAGTGTACAGACAGAATAAAAGACCTGGAGAAACAGTTTATAAATCCTGAGGGTAAGAACAGAACCCGCTTCCTTCCAGGGAAAGATATGACTAAAGAAGAAATGGTCAAAAAATTAGATTGGGTAAATATTCTTTTCCTTATTTTTTATTTTTTACTTATTGAATTTATTGGGGTGACATTGGTTAATAAAATATAGTTTTCAGGGATACAATTCTATAATACATCATCTGTATATTATTGCACTGTGTGCTCACCACCCCAAGACAAGTCTCCTTCTATCATTATTTATCTCCCATCTTGTTCCCTATCTTAGGGGAATGTAGTTTTTGTCCACTGAGTATGATGTTGGCTGTGGGTTTTCATAGGTGGCCTTTGTTACATTGAGGTATGTTCCCTCTATTTCCACTTTGCTAAGAGTTTTTATCATAAACAGGTGCTGGATTTTATCAAGTGCTTTTTCTGCATCTATTGATATGATTATGTGTTTTTGTCCTTCATTTTGTTTATATGGAATATCACATTTATCGATTTGCAGATAGTGTGCCAACCGTGGATCCCTGGGATAAATCCTATTTGATTATGGTGTATGATCTTTTTAATGTATTGCTGGATCCAGTTTGCTAATGTTTTGTTGAGAATTTTAGCATCTGTGCTCATCAGGAATATTGGCCTATAATTTTCTTTCTTTGTAGTATCTTTATCTGGTTTTGGAATTAGGATAATGCTGGCTTGGTCAAATGAGCTTGGGAATCTTACCTACTCTTGAATTTTTTTTTAATAGTTTGAGAAGTATAGGTGTTAGTTCTTCTTTGAATATTTGGTAAAGCTCACCTGTGAAGCCATCTAGTCCAAGACTTCTGTTTGTTGGGAGTTTTTTAAATTACTTCTTTAATTTCACTACTTATAATCTGTCTATTCAGATTCTCTGATTCTTCCTGATTCTGATTTGGAAGGTTGTAGGTTTCTGGGTATTTATCCATTTCTTCCAGATTGTCCAATCTGTTGACATAGTTGTTTGTAATATTTTCTTAAAATTCTTTGTATGTCTCTGGTGTCAATTGTTACTTCTCTTTCATTTCTGCTTTTATTTATTTGCATCCTTTCTCTTTTTTTCTTGATGAGTCTGGTTAAAGGTTTGTTATTCTTATTTATCTGTTCCAAGAACCAGCTCTTGGTTCCATTGATCTTCTATGTTGTTTTTTTAGACTCTCGTTTATGTCTGCTTTGATCTTTATTATTTCCTTTCTTCTACTCACTTTGGGCTTTGTTCTTTTTCAAGTTCCTTTAAACATAAAGTCAGATTGTTTATTTGAGATTTTTCTTGTTTCTTTTTTTTTTTATCCTCACCTGAGGATACTTTTTTTTCCATTTATCTTCAGATAGGGTGAGAAGGAGGGAGGGAGGGAGGGAGGAAGGGAGGGAGGCAGAGAGAAAGAAAAAAAATACATAAATGGGAGAGAGAGAAATCATCCTGCTGCTTCTTCCATAACACCAACCAGGGCTGGGAGCCGAGCTGCAACCGAGGTACATGCCCCTGACCGGATTCAAACCCATGACTCTTTTGGTCCATGGGCTGATGCTCCAACCACTGAGCCAAACCAGCCAGGGCAGTTTGGGTTTTTTTTAAATATGTTTTTATTGATTTTTAGAGAGAGGAAGTGAGAGAGAAAAATCAATGTGAGAAAAAGCATCCCATACGTGCCCCAAACAGGGATTGAACTTGCAACCTTTTGGTGTATGGGATGACGTTCCAACCAATTGAGCCACCCAACCAGTACTCAAGGTATCTGTTGATATTTTTCTTTTGATCTTATTGTTAACCCATGCATTCTTTAGTAACATGTTATTTAGCCTCCATGTCTTTGTGTATTTTTCAGGTGTTTTCTTATTTATTTCTAGTTTCATACCACTGTGGTCAGAGAATATGCTTGATATGATTTCAATCTTCTTAAATTTATTGAGACTTGTTTTGTGTTTTAATATGTGGTCTGTCCTAGAAAATGTTCCATGTTCATTTGAAAAGAAAGTATCTCCTGCTGCTTTGGGGTGAAATGGTTGAAGATATCAATTAGATCCATCTGATCTAGTGTGTCATTTAAAGCCACCATTTTCTTGATTTTCTTTCTGAAAGATCTATCCATTGATGTCAATTGGGTGTTAAAATCCCCTACTATAACTGTATTACTATCAATCTCTCCCTTTATGTCCATCAAGATTTGCTTCGTATATTTAGGTGCTCTTATTTGGGTGCATAAATATTTACAAGGATTATATGCTCTTGTTTGCTCTCTTTATCATTATGTAGCATCCTTTTTTGTCTCTTACTATAGCCTTTGTTATAAAGTCTATTTTGTCAGATATAAGTATTGCTACTCCAGCTTTTTCTTTTTTCTTTTTCATTTGCATAAAATATCTTCTTCCATCCCTTTACTTTTAGTCTCTGTGTATCTTTTGTTCTGAGTTGAATCTCTTGTAGACAGCATATACATGGCTCTTATTTTCTTATCTTTTCAACTACCCTGTATCTTCTGATTTGAGCATTTAAACCATTTACATTTAGTGTGATTATTGATAGGTATGTATTTATTGTCATTTTATTCTTTTAACTATGTTCTGTTTTTCTTCTTCTCCTTCCCCTCCTCCTCCTCCACCTTCTTATTATTATTCTTCCTTCTCCTTTTTTTCTTCCTTGTTCTTAAGGAAGACCCTTTAACATTTCTTGTAATACTGGTTTGGTAGTAACAAACTTTGTTAGCTTTTTCTTGTCAGGGAAACTCTTGATTTATCCTTGAGTTTTAAATGATAGTCTTGCTGGGTAAAGTCTTGGTTGTAGGTTCTTTATTTTCAACACTTTGAATATTTCATTCCAATCCCTTCTGGCCTGAAATGTTCTGATGAGAAATCAGCTGTCAGTCTTATGGGTGTTCCCTTGTAGATAATTGACTGTCTCTCTCTTACTGCCCTTAAGAGTCTCTCTTTGTCTTTAACATTTGCCACTTTAATTATGGTGTGTCTTGGTGTGGCCTCTTTAGGTTTATCTTGTTTAGGACTCTGTCCTTTATGGGCTTATGTGTCGTTTTCCTTTGCCAAGTTAGGGAGGTCTTCAGTCACTGTTTCTTTAGATAGGTTCTCAAGCTTTTGGTCCTTTTCTTCTCCTTCTGGTACCCCTATGATGTGGATGTGGTTATGCTTTATGTTGTCATAGGTCCCTTAGACTTTCCTCATTTTATAAAATTATTTTTTCTTTTTGCTACTCTGATTGGGTGTTTTCTGCTACCTTGTCTTCCAAATCTCTGATTCAGTTCTCTGCTTCATCCAGCCTACTGTTTATTTCTTCTAATGTAGTCTTCATTTCAGATATGGTATTCTTCATTTCTGACTGTTCCATTTTATGGTTTCTATGTCTTTTTTCATGCTATTGTAGTTCTCACTAAGTGCATTGAGCTTACTGATAATCATTTTTCCCCATCCCCCCCTCACCTCGTCCCCAGCTTTATTGTCTCTGTCCATCAGTTATGCATACATGTATATAACTTCCATGGTTTATCTCTTCCCTCCTCCCCACTCCCTATTATGAGGATTTTCAGTCTGTACCTTCCTTCTATGACTAGGTCTATTTTGTTCACCAGTTTGTTTAGTTCATTATATTCCAGAAATAAGTGAGATCATGTGATATTTGTCTTCCTCTGCTTGGCTTGTTTCACTTAGGATAATACTTTCCAGGTCCCTACATCTTTCTTTCTTACAGCTGCATAGTACTCCATTGTGTAAATGTACCACAGCTTTTTTATCCACTCGTCTACTGATGGACACTTGGGCTGTTTTCAGATCTTAGCTATTGGAAATAGTGCTGTTATGAACATAGGGGTACATATATTCTTTCTGATTGATGTTTCAGGCTTCTTAGGGTATATTCCTAGCAGTGAGATCACTGGATAAAATGGCAGTTCAATTTTTAATTTTTTGAGGTAACATCATATTGTTTTCCATAGTGGCTGCACCAGTCTGCATTCCCACCAGCAGTGTACTAGAGTCCCCTTTTCTCCACACCCTCACCAGCACTTGTTGAATCATTTTTTTGAACTCTATATCTAATAAATTATGTACCTCCATTTTACTTAGTTCTTTTTTCTGGAGATGTCTCCTCTTCTTTATTTGGGTCATGTTTCTTTGTCTCCACATTTTTTCTGCCTCTTTTGTTTGTTTCTATGTATTAGGTGGATCTGCTATGACTTCCAGTCTTTGTATGGTGGCCTTATGTAATAGGTGTCCTATGGGACCCAGTGGTGCAGTTTCCTTGATCTCCTGACCTGGGTACTCTAGGACTATATCTTGTGTGAGTTATGTGGGCCCTCCTTTGCAATTGAGTCTTGATTGCCATTGGCCCATTTATGTGTGGGGTCAGCCATCAGAGTGGTTGACTATGAGAAATCAACCCCAATCACAGTGCACTAGCTGCTGTGCAGGTGCTGACCACATAAAGTTGAATTTGCTTCATCAGGGTCTGGTTCCTGCCAAGATCTCCCTTTGCATATGCCACTTGTGAAGCTAAATTAATCCTGCTCTGATGTTGTCTGAAACTGGCCTCTGGGTGTGTTGGTTCTGGGGCCTCTTGGGAGGTATTCTGGTGAAGGTCAATGTTAGATGCTACTTGTGACTGGCCCTGGGCCATATGTTTGGAGTTCATCCACAGCTGCGGCTGCCTCTGCTAGGGCTGAGTACACATGGGAAAGACAAAACAGCACACCAAGGCTTGCTTTTACCAGGATTGGGGCCAGGGAAAACATCAGAGAAAGTTTCAAGGAACCCTGAGATTTGCCTCCACCTGCCTCTGGCTGCTGGCTGATTTTTAGGCTCAGTCAACAAATGAGCCTCAGTGGTACTTGAGTTGCACGAGGTAGGTTCTCAGTGAGTCACCAGGTAGGGGTGATTGGTGTTTACTAGACTGATATAGCTGTGCCAGTGCTGGGTCTGAGGCCACTCAGCAAATGTCCCGGGGTGTACTAAGTTTAATTGCTACCCACTAGTGCTCACACACCTTTGTGGTAGGATGGAGTCTCAAGGAGTCATCAGGATGAGGCCAGCTGAGTTTATTAGGCCCAAACAGATCAAGATTTGGCCATGTGAAGGGAAGGCTTTGCACTGGTCATGCCAGTGAGGTAAAACTGGCCCTCATCCAAGAGCCACACAACTCATTCTATTCCAGATTCTGACCAGAGCCTGATCTCAGCAGGGCAGGGATGCCAGGAGTCAGGAGGGTAGGGCTAACGGATCTCCTGTGAGGGGAAAGGTGCCAGTCCGGCTTGGGGAAAGGTGGGGAAGTGGCCCTCACCACAGAGCCACACAACTCAGTCTGTCCAAGATTCTTCCCAGGTTTTAGCAGGGTGGAAGCACCAGGTGTCAGGAGAGTGGTGCTTCCAGAAGCCTGGCTAGTGGGGCTAGCAGATCTCCCATGAAGGAGAGGCACCAGTCAGGTTCACAGGAAAGCGGGAAGAATGGCCATTACCCCAAAGCCACACAACTCAGTCACTGATAACCTATGAGTCTGCACAGATCTCTACACCCTGACCCAGGTAACTGACTCCTCAGCAGGGTGCAAGCACCGCAGGGTGGGACAGCAGGGAGACCAGAGAGTGGGGATATTGCTTTCTCCCAGGCTGATGCCATATTGATGGGAGTGTTCCACCCAAGATGGCCTCTGCCATGTGTCTGAGTGGACTCAGCTCTGGGACCCTGGCAACTGTTCCTTCAGTTCTCTCTCCAGAGCCACAAACTCTAGTTTGTCCTCACACAACTCTAGTCCACTCTGCCCTCCCTCTACTGGAGTCGAGGGTGAGTGGATGTGAACAAGATTTTGTCTGTTGGTTCTTTAAGAGGGCACCCGGGTTTCTAGGAGACTCCTCTCTCTCTCTAGTGGTCAGAATCCCTGCTGATTTTCACAGTCGGATGTTATGCGAATGCCTCGTCCTGGCTCTCTGCTCTGGCTGGGAAGATTGGTATGGACTTGACCCCACACTTCTCAGGGGGAAGCCCCCAAAGCTGAGATATCCCTCCAGAATCTCAGCTGCTGCCCATAGGAGCAGGGCTAGCCCATTTTGCATTTCTACCCTTCCTACCATTCTCTTTGTGGCTTCTTCTGTAAATCCTTTGTTATAAAACTTCTCTTCAGCTAGTCTTCATTTGGTTATTCAGGTTTATTGTTCTATAATTTAGTTGAAATTCCAGTTCGGTCCTGGGAGAAGGTGAGTAGTGTACCTTTCACCTACTCCACTGCTATCTTGGATCCCCAAATATTATTTCTTAAAATAACATCTATTTCCCTTCATTGTTCACAGTGCCACAGATATCTGTACTAGTGACTCATGTTATGTGGACAGATTTATGCCTCGTTATTCTAGCCATAGTCCTTTGATTGTAGCCTAGTAACAAAACCTAAGCTTGACTTTAAATACTTGCCAAAAGAAGTAAAAAATGAGTGGTTTCAAGATGCTCACCTTTGTATCATACCCAAAGGGAAAAAGTTGGCATCTTTAAGGGATTGATTTGTCTTCCTACGGGAGCATACTAGAGGAAGGGCAATGGAAGTTAGATGGAGGTGAGAGGGCCATTCTCTACTGTGGGGAGGAAGAATTCCCAGAGCTGTCTGGAGGGGGTTGCAGCAGAGGAAGTCATGACTTAGCCCAACTTTAAAGACTTTCTAGAGGTATTTTAGCAACTACAAAAGCAATGTGTCTTCATTTAGGAGGGAGGGGAGTTTACTTGCATGACCTTTTTACCCCTTTCCTATTGCAATTTTTTTCTGCCCTAGCTGGAACTACAGCTGGCCAAGAAGGAGGAGCAGTTATTGGAAAAGGATTTCATCTATGAACAGGTCTCCCGGCTCACAGAAAGGATCTGCAGCAAAACTCAGGCCAACAAGGAGGACACACTGCTCTTGGCCAAGAAGGTCTGTCTGAGAGCCTGCCTTTTCTTTTGTGCCCTTACTGCTCTATTATAGTTCATTTTCCACAGACTGCTTTACTTTTTGAGCAGAGCACTGGAGAGATTGGGCTTTATGACAGATAAACATAAAGAAGAAGAATTTAAAATGTAAAGATGACTCTTAGAGAATTGTCTAAAGTAGTTTCCAATCTTGTTCCCTGAATGAATTCACTTTACAGTGGGAAAACCTAAGCTTTTACATGGTAGTATACAAGTTTCATTTAACTGGGCACCTACTCAAATATGACAGTCATTATCATTCTATTCCATGTGTCAAGTTCAATCCTTTCTGGCTCCTTGTAAATAGAAGTCTTCACTTAAACAGCAGTCTGCATAGGAACTGCATGGAACTCAGCCAGAACCCAGAAAGGGAAAGAGACCATTCAAGACATGTCACAGCTAGACCCCACTAGTGAGGAGAGGCCAGGAACACAGAGCTTCCTATTTCATAAACTTAAAATACTGTAACAGGACTACGATTCAATGCTACAGGGTCAGGCAGGGACTGCTGGAAGGTACCTTGAAAGGAGCAGACAGCAGAAGAGAGGTTGGTCATTATGACGCAGAGGGAACTTGCACCATAGGGTGGTCAGAGGACTGCCTGGCCTCCGTGGCCCCTTGGAGCATCCCACTGTGACAGCACAGGGATTTGAGTTAGTCAGCAATACTTGGGTGCTATGTGTTCCCATCCCAGGCATGGGAGCAGAAACAGAGGAAGGGGCACATTGTCCACAGCGTTGAGTGCGGGGAGACAGATAGGAAAATAGATCATGGGAACACCCCCACCTGACTGTGGGACTTCAGAGGGCAGTGACTGCTCCTCATCCTTCTTAGTTTCCCCAATGCCTTGTGTGTACTAAACTCTAGAACAACACGTACTGACTAAGTTAATGGTCAGGCACGTTCTAAATATAGTTCTGTCCCACTAAATACACAGGAAGTTATCGTAAATCTCAAGCGTCCTGTGCCATTTATCTGGCATTTATGCTTCGCTCTGATGACTTACTGGTGGATGGTCACTGCAGCGCACTTGTGCGATTTACAACTTTACCTCAAAATAAGAATGTCGAGACTTTTTATTTATTTTATTTTTTTATCCTCCCCTGAGGATATTTTTCCATTTTTTGTACAGATAGAGTAGGAGGGAGAGAGAGGAAGGGAGAGAGAGAGAGAAACATCGACGTGAAGGGACACATCGAGTGGCTGCCACCCGCACAACCAACCAGGGCCGGGGACAAATTGCAACCGAAGTACGTGCCCTTAGCGGGAACCGAACCCAGGTCTCTCCGGACCGCAGGCTGACGCTCTAACCGCTGAGCCAAACTGGCCAGGGCAGAATGTTGAGACTTTTAGACTCATGAACTTTGCCTGAATTAGCATGCCCAATATTTCTTTAAATGCTGCCTTCCTTCTTTTTGCAAAACAAATTTCCCTTTCTTTGGAGAACGTCGGTGTTAGCTGAGGGCTGGCTTGTCAAAGCTGATGACATCGTATCTCCTGAAGTCAACAGTAATGCTGGAGAAATACTGAGTGTCAGGAGGATTCCAGTGTAACTGAGTTATGGCCCAGTGATCAGTCTACTCTTTCCTTCTCCACCTTCGATCTTCTCTATCTGGATTTTTTTTTTAATTATGTCTTGCTCTGACCGATTTTGCTCAGCGGTTAGAGCATCAGCCTGCAGACTGAAGGGTCACAGGTTCCATTCCCAGTCAAGGGCATGTACCTTGGTTGCAGGTTCGGTTCTTGGTCCTGGTCGGGGTTGTGCAGGAGACAACCAATCGATGTGTCTGTCTCACATCGATGTTTCTCTCTCTCTCTCTCTCTCTCTCTCTCTCTCTCTCTCTCTCTCTCTCCCTCTCTTCCACTCTAAAAATCAGTGGAAAAATGTTCTCAGGTGAGGTTTAACAAATAAATTAATTAATTAAATTACAATGTCCTCAGAATATCCAGAACTTGAAGGTAAAAATATGTTTGATCTCAGACACTATCAAATGACCTTGAGAAAGATACATAAATGACCTTAAATCTGAGTTTCCTGGTACATGAAATGGGTTTGATATCAGCTAAAGCTGTTGTGGGCATTACATAGTCAAGCAGAAGTAGACTAGTTGTTTGTGGGTGCTCAAAAAAATGCATGTCACCTCATGCCTCACATCTTTCCTACATACTTTATGGCTCATCTTCAAGTTTCCCAAATGAACAGAAAATGGAAAAATATCAGCAAAAGTCAGAACAACCCAGAAGAATACCATCCTTTTTTTTTTTTTATTTGTAGAGGAGAAGCAGGTTGGCTAGTTACACATACACACAACACTCAAGTGTGTAGTGACTGATTAATTAATGATAATAACTCACCCCTGAAGCTTTAAATGGTAACATTTGATTCAATGTATGCTTCCTAAAAATTACTGCAGTGTAGAAGTGTTTAAAATTTTATATTCCTTTAAGGAGACAAAGTGTGTACATAATAATCAGTTGTTACATTTTCAGAGGCAGATAAATCACTGGAGCAACATTCCTCCAAGATAGATCAGTGTGTGCTCTATTAGGAGAAGAAAGTGTTTTGAGGTCAGGTGTAGTGTTTGGAAGTTCATATTCATGTCTCAATTTACCCTGGTTCAAAGGACTGAAGGATTAAAATAGACTAAGAATTTACTCATTCCTTCAGTTAACAAACATTCCGTTTTAATTTTTCTTGGTGCCTTCTATGTTCCAAGAACCATGCTGGACACTGGGAATATGATGAATAAAACAAATAGGCCTTTTCCTCATGAAGAGTACATCCTTGTGGCTTGACAGACTATAACCAAATAGCCAAATACATACATATATAATACAGTGTAAGTAGTGAAACAGGATAGAAATTAAAAATAAAGCAAAGTAATATGACAGTGTTGGCGATTGGGAGAAGTCATCACTCAGTGCCCCTCGATGGCTATGGCCACACTAAAAGGTTGTGTGCATTAGGCCAGAGAGCTTAGAGGAACCACCAATTCCAACTTCTTTTCTGTCTTTTAAAATCCATTATTCCACTAGGTCCTATCTTTTAATTCTTTGATGATAAATTGCTGATGTGAAATGATAAACACACACACAACCAGAACATATCATTTCAAATTACTGGCCAGACTTTCCCCAGTTCAGCTCATGCTTGCTCATGACCTCATAATTATGCATCCCAGAAATTATGATCAATAACACAAACATGCTGAGGTATGATAGTTTCCATTAAAAATAATTTCATATGCAGGACCTCTGCTGATTACTTTATATAAGTAAAGAGTAACTTTTAAATATAGTTTTGATTTTTGTTGTTGTTTTTTTTGTTACAGATGTTTCTCCTTTTTTACCCCATTGACACCCTCCTCCCCATCCCCGCCACCCCATCCCTGGCTTTGTTGTCTATGTCCATTGGTTATGCATACATACATATAAGTTCTGTGGTTTATCTCTTCCCTCCCCCCAACACCCCCTCTTCTGAGGGTTGTCAGTCTGTACCCTATTTCCAATGTCTTTGGGTCTACCCTGTTGCTCAGACTGTTATGTTCATTATATTCCACAAATAAGTGAGATCATGTGGTATTTGTCTTTTTCTGCTTGGTTTGTTTCACTTAGGATAATCCTTTCCAGGTCCCTCCATGTTGTCTCAAAGGATAATAAATCTTTCTTTCTTACAACTACATAGTACTCCATTGGGTATATGTACCACAGCTTTTTTATCCATTCATCTACTGATGGACACTTGGACTGTTTCCAGATCTTAGCTATTGTAAATAGTGCTGCTATGAACATGGGGGTACATATATTCTTTCTGATTGGTGTTTTGGGCTTCTTAGGGTATATTCCTAGCAGTGAGATCACTGGATAAAATGGCAATTCAATTTTTAATTTTTGAGGTAACACCATATTGTTTTCCATAGTGGCTGCACCAGTCTGCATTCCCACCAGCAGTGTACTAGAGTCCCCTATTCTCCACACCCTCACCAGCACTTGTTGTTTTATGATTTGTTGATGGTGGCCATTCTGACAGGTGTAAGGTGATACCTCATTGTTGTTTTAATTTGCATCTCTCTGATGATTAGTGATGTTGAGCATTTCTTCATATGTCTCTTAGCCATTTGTATGTCCTGTTTGAAGAAGTGTCTATTCAGCTCATCCACCCATTTTTAAAATTGGGTTCTTTGAATTTCTTTTGTTGAGTTGTATGAGTACTCTATCTGATGCATCATTGACAATGATGTTCTCCCATACAGTGGGTTGCCTTTCCATTTAATGGTTGTATCTTTTGCTGTGCAGAAGCTTTTGAGTTTGATGTAGTCCCATGTGTTCATTTTCTCCTTTGTTTCTGTTGCCTTAGCTGATGTATTAGTGAAAATTCTGCTGCGCATGATGTCCAAAATTTTTTTGCCTACATTTTCCTCTAGGATTTTTATGGATTCACAGGTCACATTTAAACCTTTTATCCATTTTGAGTTTATTCTTGTGTATGGTGTAAGTTGATGGTCTAGTTTCATTTTTTTGCATGTAACTGTCCAATTTTCCCAACACCATTTATTGAAGATGCTGTCTGTACTCCATTGTATGCTCTTGCAACCTTTGTCAAATATGAACTGAGCATAAAGTCTTGGGTCCATTTCTGGGTTCTCTGTTCTGTTCCACAGGTCTATATACCTGTTCTTGTGTCAGTACCAGGCTGTTTTGATTACAGGAGCTTTGTAATATAACCTATCTGGTATTGTGATCCCACCTACTTTGTCCTTCTTTTTCAAAATTGCTGTGGCTATTCGGGGTCTTTTTTGGTTCCATATGAACTTTTGAAGTATTTGTTCTAGTTCTGTGAAATATGTCATTGGTATTTTGATGGGGATTGCTTTGAATCTATAGATTGTTTTGGGTAATATAGACATTTTAATGATGTTAATTCTTCCAATCCATGAACAGGGTATGTGCTTTTACTTTTATATCTCCCTCTATTTCTTTCTTCAATGACCTGTAGTTTTCTGCAAATAGATCCTTTACTTCTTTGGTTAAGTTTATTCCTAGGTATCTTTTTTTGCTGCAATGGTAAATGGATTGTTTTTTCAGTTTCTCTTTCTGTGACTTTATCATTGGTGGATAAGAATGCCATCGATTTCTTAACATTAATTTTGTATCCTGCTACTTTGCCAAATTCGTTTATTATGTCTAGCAGATTTTTGATGGGGTCTTTAGGGTTTCCTATGTATAATATCATGTCATCTGCAAATAATGACAGTTTCACTTCCTCTTTTCCAATTTGAATCCCTTTTATTTTTTCTTCATGTCTGATTGCTGTGGCTAAGACTTCCAGTACTATGTTAAATAAGAGTGGCAAAAGTGGGCATCCTTGTCTTGTTCCTGTTCTTAAGGGAAATGCTTTTAGTTTCTGCCCATTGAGTATGATGTTGGCTGTAGGTCTTTCATATATGGCCTTTATTATGTCAAGATATGATCCCTCTATTCCCACATTACTGAGCGTTTCTATCAGAAATGGATGCTGGATTGTGTCAAATGCGTTTTCAGCATCTATTGATATGATCATGTGGTTTTTATTTGTTATTTTGTTTATGTGGTGTATCACATTTATTTATTTGTGAATATTGTACCAGCCTTGCATCCCTGGAATGAATCCCACTTGGTCATGGTGAATAATTTTTTTGATGTATTGCTGGATCCGATTTGCTAGTATTTTGTTCAGGATTTTAGCATCTATGTTCATCAAGGATATTGGTCTATAGTTTTCTTTTTTGTAGTGTCTTTTTCTGGTTTTGGAATTAGAATTATGCTGGCCTCATAAAATGAGTGGAAGTTTTCCTTCTTCTTGAATTTTTTGAAATAGTTTGAGGATGGGTGTTAGTTCTTTTTTTGAATGTTCGGGAAAACTCCCCCGTGAAGCCATCCTGGCCTGGGCTTTTGTTTGCTGGGAGAATCTTCATTACATCTTCAATTTATCTTAGTTGTTATTGGTCTGTTCAAGTTTTCTATCTCTTCCCAGTCCAGTTTTGGGAGTCTTCGTGTTTCTATAAATTTGTCCATTTCACTTAGATTGTCAAATTTATTGCCATATAATTGTTCATAGTAGTTGTTAACAATGTTTTGTATTTCTGTGGTGTCAGTTGTTACTTATTCTCTTTTATTTCTGATTTTGTGTATTTGGGTACTCTCTCTCTGTTTCTTAGTGAGTCTAGCTAAGGGTCCATCAGTCTTCTTTATCTTTTCGAAAAACCAGCTCTTTGTTTCATTGATCCTTTGAATTGTTTTTTTTGTTTTGTTTTGTTTTGTTTTTTTTGGTCTGTATGTCATTTACTTCTGCTCTGTTCTTTACTATTTCCTTCCTTCTACTTGCTCTGGGGTTTTCTTTTTGTTTGCTTTCTAGTTCTTTAAGTTGTGAGGTTAGATAGTCTATTAGAAATTTTTCTTGTTTCTTGAGGTAGGCCTGTAGTGCTATGAACTTTCCTCTCAGAACTGCTTTTGCTGCAGCCTATAGATTTTGTGTTGTTGTGTGTTCATTTTCATTGGTTTCCAGGGAGTTTTTAATTTCTTCCTTGATCTCCTCAGTGACCCATTCATTGTTTAATAAAATGCTATTTAGCCTCCATGTGTTCAAATGTCTTTGCATGTTCTTGTTGCAATTGATTTCTAGTTGGCATTGCATGCCATTGTGATCTGAGAAGATGTTTGATATGATTTCAATCTTGAACTTGTAGAGACTTAGTTTTGCCCTAACAAATGGTCTCTCTTTGAGAATGTCCCATGTGCCCTTGAGAAGAATGTGAATTCTGCAGTTTGGGGGTATAATTCTCTGTAGATATCTATTAAATCCATTTGGTCTAGTGTTTCATTTAGAGTCTCTGTTTCCTTGCTAATTTTTTGTCTAGAGGATCTATACAGTGGTGTCATGTGGGTGTTGAAGTCTACTGCTAAGATTGTATTGCTGTTAATTTCTCCTTTGAAGTCCTCCAGAAGATTTTTAATATATTTTGGTGCTTCTATATTGGGTGCATATATGTTTATCATGATTATACCTTCCTATAGGATAGATCCTTTCAATATTATGTAGTGGCCTTATTTCTCTAGTTATGGCCTTCATTTTGAAATCTACTTTATCAGATATCGGTATTGCTACTGAAGCTTTTTTTTTTTTCTTTCTGTTTGCTTGGAAGATTTTTTCCATCCCTTCACTTTCAACCTATGTGAGTCTTTTGTTGTGAGGTGGTTCTCTTGTAAACAACATATTGATGAGCCATGCTTTCTTATCCTATCAGCTACTCTGTGTCTTTTTATGAGAGCATTCAATCCATTTACATTTAAGGTGATTATTGATATGTACTTATTTATTGCCATTTTTGTTTAGTGTGGTTCTATTTTTCTTCCTATTTCTTCTACTAATTACAGCAATCCTTTTAACATTTCTTGCAGTGCTGGTTTGGTGCTAATGTATTCCCTTAGCCTTTTTTTTGTCTGGGAAGCTCTTTATTTGACCTTCTATTTTGAATGATAGCCTTGCTGGGTAGAATAGTCTTGGATTCAGATCTTTGTTTTTCATGATCTTGATTACTTCATGCCATTCCCTTCTGGCCTATAGTGCTTCTGTTGAGAAGTCAGCTCATAGCCTTATGGGGTTTTCTTTGTAGGTAACCTGTTGCTTATCTCTTGTTGCCTTTAGGATTCTCTATTTGTCTTTAATTTTGGGCATTTTAATTACTATGTGTCTTGTAATTACCCTGTTTGGGTTGTTCTTACTTGGGGCTCTCTGTGTTTCTTGAACTCGAATGCCTTCTTCCTTCACCAAATTAGGGAAGTTTTCTGTCACTATTTCTTCAAATATATTCTCTAATCCTTGCTCATTTTCTTCTTCAGGGACTCCTATGATGTGAATATTATTACATTTCCAGCTGTCCCACAGTTCTCTTATGCTGTCTTCCTGATTTTTAATTGTTTTTTCCTTTGGTTTTCTTATTGGTTGATTTTTTTCTACCCTGTCTCCTAATTCACTGATCCAGTCCTCAGCTTTCTCTACTCTGCTGTTTAGACCTTCCAATGTGTTCTTTATTTCTGATATGTCAGTCTTCATTTCTTCTTGGTGGTTTTTAATTTCCAACTGGTTGATTTTCAACATTTCTATGTCTTTACTCATGCTGTTGAGCTTCCTCAAGATCATGGCTCTGAATTCTAGCTCGGTCAACTTGCTTAACTGCTCCTCATTTATCTCATCTTCGGTAGAGGTCTCTTGTTCTTTCATTTGGCTTTTGTTTCTTTATTTCACCATTTTGGCTATCACAGAGGGCTTTGGATCCTGCGAAATTTTCCCTGTGGGTGTTGGAATTCTGCTATTTGTGGTTCCCTCTCCTGGATTTGGAGCATGGGCGACCCACATTAAACACTACTGTCAAGTCTTACTTCCTTGGCAGAGTTGCAAGCCCAGGAATTGTTCAGTTATCCTCTAGTTTTTTGCCTGGAGGCTATTAGTCCGGTTACTTGAAGAGCCTTGGGTTCTCAGTTGAATGAAAAACTCCTTCAGGTGTTCAGAGTAAGGGGATTTCCTGAGGGTGAGGCAAATGCTGGTTGTTAATGAGCCTCAATTTGCAGTTCAATAGCCCACTTGGGTGAGGTTGAATCTTTGAGGGAGGGCCGCAGCCTCTCCCCAGAGCCCTGGGAAGGAGTAATATGGCCACCGTCCTTCATGGCTGCAACTCAGCAAAAGCTCTGAGTGCCCTCCAAATCCCGAGTGTCCCCACACAGTTCCAGTCCAGTCACCCTCCCTCTGCTGGAGCCCAAGATGAGTGGCTGTGGCTAGTTTAACGTCTGTCCCCGCTCTGCGCTGTGGAGCCACTTGGGAGTTTAACCTGAGGGCGCTGCTCATAGCTAAGACTGCTGCTGTCTATGGGCTCCCAGCCCACCTCTTGTGCCTTTGCAATCCTACCAAAATCAAGTCAGTGTCCCTGATTATATGGTCCTCATGAGCTGCTTTTCTGTTGCTTTTTCCTGACGATTTGTCTTTATTTTTGTTGTAATTTCAGTTTGGTCCTGGGAGATGGTCTGTGTAGCTTCCATTCAATCTGCCACCATTTTGGAATCCTCTAAATATAGTTTTTATTCTACCAAATTTTCTACCACTGGATAAGTGATAAACTAACAACATGGCAAAATTAGGCCAGAACGTAGACATCAATAACACTCTATTCCCTTCTTCTTATCACCTCTTAAATATAAAGAGACTTAACTATTCCCCTGAATGTTATCGACTGGGACATCTGCTAACTCAGTGAACATATTCTTTCTTTTCACTCCTTGTCACTATTTACACAGCTAGGGTGTTAGGCTCAATCTCCAAGGTCTCCTCCAATTCTTATTTTCTATAAATTCCCACTTAAATTCTTACCTTTGACCAAGAATGCCCCCCAACCCACATTATAGACAGCCATCAGCCTGCCATTTTCTTCAGTTCTTTATGGAATATATACATAGGCTAAGCCTTGGGCTCTTTAATTCTAGATGAACGGCTACCAGAAAAAGATCAAAGATACTACAGAAAAAATGATGGCTCTTGTTGCTGAGCTATCCATGAAACAAGCTCTGGCCATTGAACTCCAAAAGGAAGTCAAGGAAAAAGAAGACTTCATCTTCTCTTGCAGTACCAGGATAGAAAAGGGTCTGCCACTCAATAAAGAGATTGAGAAAGAATGGTTGAAGGTACTGCGAGATGAAGAAATGTATGCTGTGGCCATCGCCAAAAAGTCTCAGGTATGGTTAGGCTTCTATATTGCATTTGTAAAGCGGCCAAAAAGGGATATTTTTAGGGGTTTCAATCCTCCCAAAATATATGAAAAATTCCCCACTCTACCATACATAGTCCAAACAGTCAGAAGAAAGTTTTGGGGTCTTTAAAGATATTATATAGACACATCAAAGTACAATAGTCTAAAGCATCATAATGTTCTTTGGAGAACACTTGGCAAGCACCAAGTTCCACCCCACAATCTTATATTCTGGCTGGTGTGGCTGAACATCATGGACTCCCACTAACATAGCAATTACCAGCTGGTAATTTGGTTTTATCCATAGGTCTCCAGTCTCTGTCCTTGCACCCCTGCTCAAACCACAACGTACTCTTCTATGTCTACATGCTGCAGCCAGCACAGCCTATGTGAGGCCCCCAGCATATTAAGGTTGTCACAGCCTTTGCAGACTCTGCAGTTGGTGTGCATCGTAGGCCTCAATGCCACTCCTTTTTCCCCTGCCACTAGCCTAAGTAGTGGTCTATCACTGATTCCACCCACACATTCAGTGCCCAGTTCTTCTGCCTAAACTCATGTCCTTTCAATATTCTTAGAATGGAATTGGTCATTTCTGTTTAGGTAGACTGGGTCTTGGGGACCTACAACTCACTCTCAGACTGTCAAGTAGACAGCCTCAAAAAGATTGCTATTCACTAACTAGCCTGAGGAAAAAGGTGCATTCAATACACATATTAGGAATAGCTGAAATCAGGGTCTGATTTGTAATTCCCACACTGCCTGGGACTATATTTTCTAGGGCCTTCAGATTTTACCAGTGGTGTACTGGCATAATTTACCCATCTCCATTATTTAGAACTCATTTTAATGCTGTAAGAGAGTCCTATATTTTTCAGAAGCACAGGCAGAATCTTGAGAATCTTGAGGTTCAAGGCACATTGCTCTCCACTTCTTTCCTCTGGTTCTACCTTACTCCTTATCTCTTTCTAATATTTGTTCAACAATGACTTACCAAAGGGAATATATTGTCCTACCTCTGTCAAAAACAAACCATGGAAATAATTAGTAATTGATGAAAGATACTGAGGTTGAAATACACTGAAATTCAGAACCCACCAACCAGTTTATAATAAACTGTAAACCCCAGGAACAGAGTGATGCTTGAACAACATGGGTATTCCAGTGAGATGCAACATGTGAGTGAGTGTGTGAGTGAGTGTGTGTCCCACCCTCATACCCTCCTGTCCTTCGGGGGAATATCGACCAGCACAGCTTAAGACAGCTCAGACCCAGCTGTGTCTAGTGGGCCCTGGGAGAAGTAACTTCACCAGAGTTTACAGAAAACTGAAAAGCAAACATCATTCTTTGCAGGAGTTCTTGGAAGCAGATAATCGCCAGCTGCCCAATGGTGTTCTCACGACTGCAGAGCTGCGTCCAAATGCCTACATCCCAGAGGCAGAAGCCACTCTTCCTTTGCCAAAACCATATGGTGCTTTGGCTCCTTTTAAGCCCAGTGAGCCTGGGGCCAACATGAGGCACATAAGGAAGCCTGTTATAAAGCCAATTGAAATCTGAATATTTAACCAATCCAGGCTTCCCAAGGAAACACTTAAGCCAGGCTTCCTCATATCACAGCTGAAAAATGTCAGCATAATAGCTCTAAATTACAGAAAAATACATTATCCACAATTAACAATAGGAACAACATACTTTTCTTTTATAGTCACCAACTACTATATTTTAGTTGATGATATTGAGTAAGACATAGAAATCATTTCTTTATTTTTCATTCTCTACATTGAAACCTTTCAGAAATATATAGTAGGCCAGGTGCTATAAAAATGCAATAAAAATAAATCATTTTTCAGTGAAGAACAGAAATTAGCAGAGTGGTCCTTTTTTATTAAAGAAAAAAAGGAAATACTGTTCAATATACTGACTTTAAAAGAAAAGATAGAATGATCAAGAATCACAGGTGCTTAACTCACTTTATTAAATAAATGGTTGCATTTAAAGTTTATGTTGTTAGCCCTAGCTGGTTTGGCTCAGCAGTTAGAGCTTCAGCCCATGGACTGAAAGGTCACAGGTTTGATTCCTGGTCAAGGGCAATTCCTGGTCAAAGGTCACAGGTTTGATTCCTGGGTTACGGGTTTGATCCCTGGCCCTGGTTGGGGTCATGCAGGAGGCAGATAATCGATGTTTCTGCCTCTCTCTCTTTCCCTTTCTCTCTCTCTTTTCCTTCCTTCCTTCCTTCCTTCCTTCCTTCCTTCCTTCCTTCCTTCCTTCCTTCCTTCCTTCCTTCCTTCCTTCCTTCCTCTTTATCTAAAATCAATGGAAAAGTATCCTCAGGTGAGGATTAACAAAAATTAAAAAATAAAAAGTTAATGTTAAATCTAAATCAAGTAAAAAGCAATAGGGAAGCTTGTCATTTTCAAGATAGTGTATGGTGATTCATTAATAAGTAAACAATCCTTTTGCAAAAATAATTATGCCCTAATTTATTTTTTATAAGTCTAGATTTATCAAAATGTTGGCTGCAAATAAACTCGTGATTATTTTAAGTTTTGATACCAGATTTTTCAAAAATTTCAATGAAAATATTAATAATTTGGCATGTGAGTTTAAAATGAGGCTGATTCCCCTTATTTTATTACTCTAGTTTTATTCCATTTCACCTAAATACATTCCTAATTCTGTTTTATATTTTCTCATGTATGAATATATACAAGATTTCAACTTGTGATTTTACATTCCTTAATATGCTCAACCTATCTTTATTTCATACTGGTATCAGTTGTGAATTTCAGTTCACAACCCTGGGCGTGAGAAATATCACATTCCTTTATTTCGCTAAATCATACAAAATTTGTTCCAAGTTTCTGTCCTGCCAGATTGGAGGGAAATTTAATCTCATTCTCAGTCTACAAATCCTGAATCTAACCCAGATGCTTTGTGAAGTTATTGAAAAGAATTTCCTTGGGAATACCTATAAGTAACATTGTAGAAATCGTTTGTTCGACACAAAGAAATGCATAAACACTATTGCTGTGTTAGGAATTAGCAATCACATTAGGGATTTAAATATATATATACATAGGAAGCTTAACATAAGAATGAAAACAATTTTTAAAAATCACAAAGGGATGGATACTTAAATATTAAAGTGTGTGCTACTGGTTGAGGGGTGGACAGGTGGCTCTGTGTGCGGGAATGACCAAGGATCACAGTTAGATGGAACTTTTTCCCTGGCCCTTAAGCATAAATAAGATTTTAACATATGGAGAAGGGATTCCAGGTGGGGAAATATCCTGAGCAAGGCTTAGAAGTAAAAAGACAAAAGTTATGTTGAAGGCCCGGTGAACTGAGGTGGCTGGAACAATGTTCAAGTTGGGGAACTATACAAGGCTGGGATTATGGTGAGTTTGCATTTTATCCTGTGATTTTAACGTGACTATGAGCAGAGGATCAAACTAGTGTTTATCTCAAGTGTAAGTCAGATGAATTAGGCCTTAAAAAGCGGCTAAAACAAGCCAGGTGTGAAAAGAGTAGGGAAAGAAGAATAATGCCCTTATGAAGAGAGAAAATCAGCACTGCCTGGCTCGTGTGGCTCCAAGATTTTGAGCCTCAGTGACCATGAAGTAATTATCAAGAGGGGGAATTCTGTAGGAGAGGACACTTTTTAGAATACAATGATCGTTTTAGAAAAGAAGTTGAATTATTATGCCAGTTAGTGATATTTATAATGATTAAAATACCACATGTTCACTGAGGAAAATAATGTGAAAAGAGAAAAGCAAACGGTCATGGTCTGACCCCAGGAAGCAACTGTATCTATGGGTCAGAATAAAGTCACTGTAGATGAAAGAAAAAGACTAGTTACATGTCATGGAGAACTTTGGGGGAATATGTTCATAGACTCATGATTTCTAGCTGGAACAAAAAGGCTTTGTAGTCAGGCCAAAATTTTCAGTTTTTTGTTTTTGTTTTTGTTTTTTAATGATAAGGTATTTCTAAGTCAAACTTTTATAAATATTAAAAAGCTTAAAAATATTAAATACAGTTCCATCTGAACCATCACAAAAAGACAAATCTTACTCTAAACAGACTGTATGTACAAATTGCTGCATGTTACAAATTATTCTATACTGGAAATAGCAGATTTGTCCAAATTCAGTGTTTTAAAAACTATCCTCTTTTACAAATACCGTTTTTGTGCAACATTTAATTTTTCCCACTTGGCATATGTTATTTTCAATGACACATCTAGTTTTTGGCTGTTGTAAGCACTATTCCCTACATTTTTTAAGTGTATTTTATTTCAGAGTGCAATAGACACTATCTTGTGGCCTATGAAGCCACTAGGAAGAGCATCATTCAGCCACTACCTGCTTCCTTGTTCTGCCGGCCATTTCTCCCCACCTGACGGCTCATCTGCTGTCCAAAACTGGATGAGGTACTGCAGTTGACTTCTTCCAAACAAGTACCAGACTGAAATTCAGATGGCCCAACAGTGTATTCTGATTTTGGAAATCAATTTTAAATATTGCTAGAGAATTCTCAGTAGAAGTTGAGCTAATGAGCAAGATTAACACTTGGAAGCTGATACAATTATATTTTCTTCTTTATAAGCCTAAAAGCATCATAGTGTGTTTCAGAGCTGCTTCTTCCACAAATTTTGCATCCACATTGTCATGTCCTAGAAAAGCATGCAGAGCTGGAAAGAGAAAGAGAAGAGTTACTGTGGAGCCATGCAGCATATATAATGTCATGCCCACAGCTCTTTGAAATCATAATTATTTTATATTTTAGTAAAACACACTGTTCTGAAAATGTGGTTAAAATTTATTAAACCTCAGGACCAAGACATCAGCCAAATGGCTTTTTAACAACTTAAACCATTTTAAAATTTCAGAGGTGATCATTGCTTTGGTAATTTACTCTAGGTAAATGGTGTATTGCTAATTAAAATCAATTGCAATGAGGACCTACTTATAAGTAAGGGGTATTTTGGAAAGAAAAGGGTACAGAGAAATAAATAGAGTCTGATTGCTGTGTCAAGGGAAAAGCAGGAAAACTGAGAACAGAGGAGTGAATTACCTTGATTGGAGGATTCTATATCTGTCAGTGTTTTAATGAAGTAGTTCAGAGGCAGAAATTCCACACTGAACGATGACTTGTCAATCATAGAACTCCAAGGCTAAAAAGGAAACCACTTCTGGTATTAGGTGATTATCCAAAACAAACACAGACTTTAAAAAAAAAAAAAGTGGTAATAACTACAATGGCTGCCCATATAGATATGCTGAAACAGGCAAATAAGATCCAAAAAACATTTAGTGGGGCTGAACTTTCACACTGACGCACCTGTTTCTTATAGTTCCGAAGCAGCTGCTTCACATGGTTCCGGGAAATAATGTTAGAACTCATAGGATGATCCCAAAGTCGACAGATCTTCTGACCTATATGCTATTATGTAAATCGAAAATAGGTCAAGGAGGATTTTTAGGGCAGTAAAAGTACAACACTGTAATGATGGCCAAATTCATAAAATGAACACCACCAAGAGTGAAACCTAATGTTGACACTAGACTTTGGATGAATGTGATATAGGTTCAGTTATTGTAACAAATGGACCACTCTGATGGGGATGTTGATAATGGGGAGGTCATGCGTGCGGGGGGTGGGGAGGAGGGGTATGGGAAATCTCTATACCTTCCACTCAGTTTTGCTATGAACCCTCAACTACTCTAAAAAAATAAAGTCAATAATAAAAATAAAAGGATGGAAAAACATATAGAGGAGAATATAGTTCATACTGCATTAAGTAAATGTACCTTATATCTATTCATAATTTAAAAAGATATTATTCCAGTCCTGCTGGTGTGGCTCAGCAGTTGAGCATCAACCCATGCACCAAGAGGTCACCAGCTGGATTCCCAGTCAGGACACATGCCCAGGTTGTGGGCCTGATCCCCAGCAGGGGGCATGCAGGAGGCGGCCAATCAATGTTGTCTCTCATCGATGTTTCTATCTCTTTCTCCCTTTCCCTTCCTCAATCTAAAATCAATAAAGGAAGAAAAAAAGAAAAGATATTATTACCAAGTCACTAGTTAGGCCCTTTATGCCTAACAACCCTTGGAAAAAGGCCATTTCCTAGGAGGTACACTTCTGAATTTTGAGTAAATACTCCATGAAACGCAACCCTGAGAAAGCTGGTTATACACTAATGTTGCCAAATTCTTTTTCTGAAATGGAGTTCATCTGCTCTTCAAAACTGGGGTCCTGCATGCCTCTACATGATGTTTTGATAGGAAACTAAAGGTTATAGTCATGTTCTCTGCCAATGTCTTGCCCAGAAAATTTTAATTCCCTAAGAGTATGAGGCAAAAATAAAACAAAATAAAATAAAATTTTAGAGACCAAAATAAATGTTCAGAGGCAATCCCCGGAGAGACCCAGCCATGGAAAACATGCTTTGTTTTCTATTCTTGCCTCTGCTTCAGTAAGCCTGAGAGGGGGAGAGCGGGTGTGTCACAAAGCAAGCCGAGTAGGTCCAAAAAGGCAACGGACACCCCTTCGTGGGAGGATGGTGCCAGAGACCAAGTGCTCCGTGTATGTAAACACGCAAAGAGCCGGCTGGCCCAGGCACCCAGGGTCAGGGAGTTCACAGTCAGGCTCTGAAGACCCTGCTGTAAAATTTCATACTTTCAAAGCATTTTTACCTCCAAGAGCTAATATTCCCCACAAAAACAAGGAGTGCCCACATAACGCCTTCCCTCCTGTTTTCATTCTTCCTTCGACCGGGGAATATTTTCCAGTCCTACTGGACTGACAGTGGGAGGAAATGCAGTTCCAGAACCTTCTGACCTCACCTGTATTTAAATTTCTTATCAGTTTAAAAGCCCAAAGCACATGTTTCCCCTCTCCCTCCCCTCACAGTCCCAGATGTAAATATTAGTGTGGTTTCCTAAGAGAAGAAAACAGCTAGCTGTTTTGGGTGGGCTGTGCCAGGGCAGAACAAAGCTGGAGGAGTGAGCACTGTGCAGGCCCGGGGGGAGCCGCCGGCAGAGGGTGGGGATGGACGGGATTTCTTGGAAAGAGCTGAAAAGAGAAACAATTCAGCTGACTTTAGCCCACATTAAGTAAATGTTCCTTTTGCAAGAAGAAATTGAAGGAGGTTCATGCCAAGGCTTAGGGAGAAAATAAAATACAATTCAGGATTACCGGAGGAAGCCGCACAACGATGCTGAATTTTAGCTTTTCATTTTTCTCTGTGTTGTCCAGATCTACAAAAAAAAGTAGATTGCAAACAAAACACAAAGCTCCATTTTAATATCTGAACAAACTACTAATACTTCAGTGGTTCATCCAGATAACACATATCCCAACCATTAACTCTCAAGCTAAATCTAATAATGCTTGGAAAATTCTAGTTTGTGTCTCTCTGAATAAAAGGGATTTTTAAATGAAGCTGTTTCTATATATCATGGAACACGGTTCTGTAACAGGCTGCTAGTCAGAAAACAATTTCATTGACTAACTTGAAACAGAAGGTACCTTAGGGAATGGGAAATACTTCAATATGTATTAACAAAATTCATCTATAAAATACCACAACTGGCCCTGGCTGGTTGCTCAGTGGTTAGAGCATCGGCCCATGGACCAAAGAGTAGCAGGGTTCAATTCCAGTCAAGGGCACATACCTCAGTTGTAGTTCAGTCCCCAGCCCTGGTTGGGGTCATGCAGGAAGCAACCTATGGATGTGTCTCTCTCACATCGATATTTCTCTCTCTCTCTCTCTCTCTCTCTCTCTCTCTCTCTCTCTCCCCCTCTCCCTCCCTCCCTCCCACTCTATCTGAAGATAAATGGAAAAATATCCTCCGGTGAGGATTTTTAAAAAATACCACAGTTGAATCATTTAAGTGAGAGCAGTTATACTATAATAACAAACCATATTTAAAGTTCAAATTCACATAAACACTGCATTTCTCATTAATTTTTCTTACATTTCAAGTCTAGCTTTGCAACAACAGAGTTAATCAGCTGAAAGTAAGCCATTTCATGACATCTTCTTGAGAAACACGCCTTTAGAGTCTGCTATCCTCAAGTGCCCTCTTGTACAGAAAAGGAATTTAATAGCTGTGTGTGGATTGAGAAGCCATTCTGGGTCTCTTGAAGAGTAAAGTCACTGAAAATTAGCCTAAAAGATAGTTACAGGAAATTAACTGTACTCAAAAGTACCAGTTGTGTAATTTATGGTGCCCAATGGGGGGAAAAAATGAGGAGCTCCTTGTTCAAATATTAAGAATTTCAAGAGTTAATGCAAAACATTAGACTAATCGTGGGGCCTTGCTGAGTGTTGCTGGGCCCTGTGTGACCATGCAGCTGGCACACCCTTGCAGCCAGCCCTGGTGGTGCTCAGACTAGAACTAGCACCCAGCCAATTCAGAGCCTCAGAGCCTCTTACCTTCCATGAGCCTTGTGACAGCTGTCTCTGTGAGACGCAACACCCCATTATCAATGTAATGCAGCAGGTTATGCAAAGGGAGACAGTGGACGCCAAGGATCGTATGCAGAGTGTGAAAACCTAGGATGAGAGATGCAGGAGGGTAAACAGCCAGCCAGCATCTCCAGCCTTTCAGGCAGAATGAAATCGGTGGTTGTTAATAAAGCACTCAGCTGCCCTGGAAGGTTTGGCTCAGCAGTCAGAGCATCGGCCTGCGGACCAGAGTGTGCCGGGTTCAGTTCCCGCTAAGGGCACGTACCTCGGTTGCAGTTTGTCCCTGACCCAGTTGGGTTCGTGTGGGTGGCAACCAGTCGATGACACATCAATGTTTCTCTCTCCCTCTTCCTCCCTCTCCCCCTCCCACTCTATCTGAAGATAAATGCAAAAATGTCCTCAGGTGAGGATAAAAATAAAAAATAAATAAAGCACTCAGCTCAGTGCTTGGTGCCTAGAGTCAACTACATGCTGCTTGAAGACAAGACTAAGCATTATCAAGAAGTGTTGTGCTGGGTATATAAGTTCTCAACAAGTCTGTATTTCCTTCACCTGTGTCTCTTTTGGCAAAAAGAGGAAAAGAGCACAAGACCTGATCAATGAAAGATGGTTTTACAGTTTACAGGTTGGCAATTCTACAGTAAAACTCCACATGACCAGGCTAAAAAGGATGATAAACAGGGACCATTTTGCTAAAGAGGAATCATCTGAACCAGAAGGAGGCAGCTTATATGCCTGGTCTGTGGGTATATTTTTGGGGTCTACTTGCACTAAATTATATTAAAAAATTAAAATGGTATGGTCAGATAGCAAATCTATAGGAATTTAATAGAGAGGAAAGTTCTCCCAAACCCGAGTATCATGGGGAAGTCTCCTCAAACATGTAGAAACCTAGAGCATGAAGTGCACTATTAATAATAAACAATAGAAATAACATCCATGCGAGAAGCTATCAGACCAGGAGAGAATGAGAAAAGCCCTCTTTAAAAAGATGGCCTGTGAAGGGCAAATGTGATTCCTGGGGGTGAAAATGAGGCAGGGGGACATGGAGTGCAGATAGCAGAAAATGTCATGTTCATATGAGCAGACAGGGGCTGGAATCCGGCCATGCCACTCACCAGCTGCAGGCAACTAAGCCTTTGTGGGCTTCCGTTTCTTCATCTTCCAATGGAACCACCAGTACCTTTCTCGCAGACCTGCCCTGAGACCCAGAGCTGGTTTATGAGCGCTCATAGTATAACAGTGACTAATACTAAACGTGCACCAAAGCCTTCAACCTACACACTGGCTCACTTATTCCTCACACAACCCCATGAAGTGGGAACCAGTTTGTAAATGGAGAAGCTGAGATTCACAGGAGCTAGGAAACTTGCCCAGGATCATATAAATAGTAAGTGGCCAAGCTGAAATTTGAACACAGGCTGTGGGACATCAGCCTAGGCTTCCGCCATAACATTATCCTGCCCCAATAACTGGTGGCTGTGTTAACAGAACGGTAAGAACAGGAGCCCAAAGGTAAGAAAGTATGGGGCACATTCAGAAAATATTAAGTGATCTGGCTGAGTTGGAGTCAGGTGTATGACAAGAATAACAGGGAGGCCTGGCTGGTGTGGCTCAGTGGTTGAGCATCAACCCATGCACCAAGAGGTTGCCAGTTCAATTCCCAGTCAGGGCACATGCCCAGGTTGTGGGCCAAATCCCCAGTGGGGGGCATGCAGGGGGCAGCCAATTGGTGTTCTCTCTCATTGATGTTTCTCTCTCTCTCTCTCCCTTCCTCTCTCTAAAATCAATAAAGAAAATTGAAAAAAAGAATAACAGGAGGTAAGGTTGGAAAGGTTGATTTAACAAGTCACTTCCATATTCCAGTCAAGGGGCTAGGCACACGACAATGAGCAAAACAGGTACCGCAGCTGTTCTCATTTACCTTCCAATCTGAAGGGAAAACAGAAAATCAAATAATCACAAAAAATCGATGTATAGTTTTTAAAGTGACCAGTTCTATGAAAGAAAAGTGCAGGGTGCTCTGAGTAAATGTGATGGGCTGAATGCTGAATGGCAGCGAGAACTTAACTATTTAGTAGACTTGGAGGAAGCACTGACAGTTTTTAAGCAGCATGGAAAGGGGATTTGAGCTTTACTTTTGGAATATTAAAATGGCAACAGGCAAAGAAGGGACTGGAGTGACAGTTTGCTACCAGAAGTATGAAGACCTGTTGGGAGGCAATTGCACGAACCTGGGCAAGAGGTATTGAGGGTGTTGACAGTGAAAGAGGGGGGAAGGTGTGGGAGAGGCATGGCAACATGTACAGGCTTGGAAACTGATTGGAAGTGGGCAGGAAATGCTACAGAATCATAGCCTAGTTTTGGGAGCTTACATGACAAAGAAATGATACCCAATCCAGAGCAGGGGTTTGAATTCAGACAAATCGTGGAGTTTCTCTGCACAGGGAGGAGTTACTGGGCAAATGGATACGTGCCCTAGCTTCCCAGAATCCAAAAAAAATTAACATGAGATTTTTTTTTTCAAATAGATTTGGACATTCTTCCCAAGATTTAAAAATGTTATAAAACTATTTCTGAATAAAAGTTTATAAATCATATAGATTTTTTGGACTCAAAATTCCTCTCCAGCCCTGTGTCTATGTCCTAAAGATCCCTGTTGACCCTTCATCCTCTATCCCTAGGGCACAGTCCCAAATTCAACAGTCCATTCTTGGCCTCCTCTCTGCATGTCAGCTCTATGAGGCAGAAAAAACTGCCTAAAAGTAGGCATCAGTTCCAAAAGAGAGCTTTTCCAGCCAACTCTTGTCCTCATCTTCTAAGAGTCCTGGCCTCCTCTAGCCAACAAGGGAAACACAGGTCCCTTTTAAACTGCAAATGCTCCAGCTTTAAACCATGACTTCCTTTTTGTGGTCCTCATTCTTTTTTTTTCTTTAACCAATTTGGGTTACCTGTTTCTGACTCTCGAAATTGGTTTTTGCTGCTCTAGGAGGCCTGGAAAGCATGCACACTGACATGTGAAAATGAAAGAAGACCCTGCATCTATACACACACGCATGCACACACATGGTCCAGCGTCACTCCACATCCATTTCCACGTCACATGAGGGAAACAAACATTTACGAGAAAAAGGATAGAAACTGCTCTTCCCTACCTGACCCATGGCCACAAGCTGTTAAATCCGCTCAAAATAATTCGCAATCACTACAGGTAACATTCTCCCATGTTTTCCCTCCTTGTCCATCCCCCTCCCAAAGAATGCAACCTTTGGCAGAAAGTGAATTTTTATTATCTCCCAGAAATAATATTGTCCCCAGTAAGTCAGTTTCACTAATTTACAAAAGGAGCCTGAACAACCATGGTGAACAAATGGGAAAGTGTCAGTTCATTCCTCTACCAAGTCCTTTGTGTTCATCACCAATAATTAAGAATTTAAGACAGAAAGCTATATACAATTTTCATGAAATCCCTTCACTTTCTAGAGGGCACCTCACAATTCATATTCCATTGGGATAATTTAGACTCATCTATTCTCCTCATACATGACCACTTTCAGATTCCTACAAAGTCAACACTATATTAGATATAGCACAAATGCAGAGAAGTTCAGACATGCTGTAGGGATTTTCTGGGCCCATAAACAGCCAAAGTTTGAGCATCAACTAATTCAACTAGAATATAAAACTCAAAAGCCAGCACAGAATAGTAGTAAAAAGCACAGATTTTGGAGCCAGTCTGCCTGGATTTGAATACTGGCTCTGTTGCTTAATAGTTATGTGACTTTAGGCAGTTACCTTTTCACTTTCTGTGCCTCAATTTCACCATCTTTAAATGCGAACAATATTAAGTGAAACCATATGAAAGTGCCATTTGTGTTGGTCAAAAATTTAATGTGGTTCAATTTAAGCTCCTACCACTCAGGATTATTATGAAAACAAAATGTGCTTATTTATATAAAGTACTTAGAACAGTACCTGGCACAAAATAGGTACCAAATGTATATTGGCTTAAGATGAACACATAAAAAAATAAATTAATGATGGATGAATGGATAGCTGTATATGAATAAATTAAACTGGCTGATATATTATTAATAAATCAATAAACAACAAGTGTTGGCAAGAATGTGGAGAAAAGGAAACCCTTGTGCACTATTTGGTGGGATTATAATTTGTCCAGCCACCATGGAAAACAGTATGGAGGTTCCTCAAAAAATTAAAAATAGACCTATCATATGTCCCAGCAATTTCACTTCTGGGTATTTATTTGAAGAAATCCAAAACACTGATTTGAAATGACAAATGTACCCCTATGTTCATTGCTTCATTATTTACAATAGCCATGATAATAGAAGCAACCTAAGTGCTCATCAATAGATAAATAGATAAAGAAGATGTGGTCCATATATACAATGGAATATTACTCAGCCATAAAAAGGAATGCCATTTGTAACAACAGGGATAGAACTAGAAGGTATTAGGCTAAGTGAAATAAGTCAGACAGAGAAAGACAATACCATATGATTTCACTTATATGTGGAATCTAAAAAACAAAATAAACAAACAAAACAGAAACAAACTCATAGACACAGAGAACAAACTGATGTTTGTCAGATGGGAGGGGGATCAGTGGATAGGTGAAAAAGGTTAAGGGATTAAGAAGCACAAATTGACAGTTATTAAAAAAATAGCCACAGGACTAGAAAGTACAGAATAGGGAATATAGTCAATAATATTGTAATGACCATGTATGGTGTAAGATGGGTACTAGACTTATCGGGGAGATCCCTTTGTAAGGTATACTTATGTCTAATCACTATGCTATACACCTGAAACTAACATAATATTGTATGTCAAGTATAACTGAAGAAAAAAGAATAAGAATTAAAGAATTATCTAAAATATATTAAAAACTGGCTGATATGTAATATGTAGTGATAGCTATCATAAAGCTTACATTAGGACTTGTATGTAATTAGCATAAGGCAGGTAGTTTATAGCAATCAGGAGCTTATTTATTTCTTAAAATGATTACAAATTTATATGCCCATCTTCCCAACTAGGCTTTATTAATTTTTGTAATTGCTCTCATTTCCAGCACAATACCTGGTATGTAATAATTGCTTGACAAATATCTTTTGATTGAATGAACAAATGCCCAATTCAATGAATGACTGCATACACATGTGCCAAGGGTGTTTTGAGGCCTCATTTGATCCTGTTTCAAAATGGTAAGGGAAATTTTTAGCTTCCAAGCATGTAAGAATCAGCTCAGTTTTGACACCCAGCCAAACCCACTGCCTTCTGTGTGTTAAACAGATAAACAAGGCTTACAGACATCAGAGAAAGATCTCCCTGAATCAGCTCCACTGGCTCAAAGTATTCTAGAAAGTTAGAAGGGGGACAACCTAGGCTCCCTAAACTTAGTGACAAACTAGAGTCTAGTTTAATAATTGGGGGTGATCTGGGTCAGCAGAGACCAACCTCAGGCCCATCTCTCAGAGTGACAACAGACACAATCTCCCAGACACCGCAGTTCTCATCCTTAAACTCAGAATGTGCCCAAGTCTAGGGACCATGTGAAGAAGAAAGAACAAATTTATTACAACAAAGGATAAAAGAGCCAATACTTACCAGGAGGCAAAGGTAAAAACAAACTGCTAGTAGCTTCCAAAATCCTGGTCATGATGTGGAAGACTGCAAATTCAGCAGCACTAGCTCGCCTGTTGCTGGGGAAAATGCCAAAGCAGCATGTCAGCCAAGGAGCTCATCTCTGAAACTCCATTTGTCTAAGCAGTGGCTCTGAGGACACAGACAGATGGAATCCATGCTAATCATGAAAGGCTATGCAGAAAGCTTCAAAAATATAATGGTGCCCTGGCCAGTGTGGCTCAGGTTGGGCATCATCCCATGCACCCAGCGGTTGCTGGTTCAATTCCTGGTCAGGGCACATGCCCAGGTTGTGGGCTCGATCCCCAGGAGGGGGCATATGAGAGGCAGTTGATTGATGTTACACTCTTACACTCTCTTCTCCCTTCCTCTCTCTCTAAAAATCAATAAACTATTCTTTTTTTTAAATAATCATTTAAAAAATATGATGACCATCAGCCTAGTGCCTAGAATCTGAGCAGACAGTTGGCACATAAATGATAAATTATGTTCATTTCAATTCCCTTTCTTCATAGTATTGAGCTCATGTGCCCCTCCCTCCTCATCAACCATATACCAGGGAAAAGGATGAGTGAAAATAACAGGGGCATGACTTCAAACGCTGAGTACAGAACTAAGGTAGATGGTGTAAGGACTGGTGAGAATTGCTTTCAACTGGTAAGTTTCAAAAAGGCTTTGCTAAAACAGGCAGCAATCAGAGTTGTTTTGGCTCTGCACACACCGTGATAAAAGACCAAGAAATACTTGCGTACAAGTGGAGAACCCAGGGATGAAGATTATGTTTCCTCCAACTGGTTTCCAGTATTTGGCAAATGAGATCCAGCTGGAGGAGAAAGACAGTCTGTCAACCTCTGCTCACTTCACTCCCTCAGGGGCCCCACAGCAATCCTTCCACGCTCTGACACACACGTTCAGGGCAGCTGGCATTCCAGCTGTTCCTGGACACAGAACCAGCCTTTCTGAGGTCAGTTCTGAGGCAATGGAATCCAAAATGGAAAGACCAAAAATGCTCCCCAGAGTCTAACAGAGCACCCTCTGTCTATGCGGCCAGTGTCCCAGTTGAGCTCCCACAGCCTAGCTGACAGGCCCTCAATTACAGGCCCTTGTCCATCAGTGAAGGTCACGGGCAACTGGGTGTGCCCTAGGCCTGCTATGTGACAATGGCACAGCTGACAGTGAGAAGAAAGGAGACACTGAATAGAATGAAGGTCCTGAGCATGGGCTGGGGAGTAAGACTGATTTCAAGTCCCCAGGTTCAATATTTTACTAGTTTGTTAATAATAGGACAGCGTCTACCGCACAGTTGTCAGCTGTGAATCCATGCACGGCACATGTGGGCAAAGGATAGGGTCTACCTACAGGCACAGACAAATGCCATTTATTCTCAATGAAATAGATTCTCAGTTTCTCTTTAGCTGAAATCAGGTAAGATAACACATGAGTCATTTAATCGGGTTCTGCAGCAACTTCTGAGAGTTTTAGAAAAGCTATCTAGTCACCCTCCTTAGAAGGGACTGGGAAATGTGACTGTTGGCTGCTAGGCAGGGGCAGACAGATGTGGCTTCGATCAGTAACCGCTGAGGAGGAAAGTCAGGGGCAATGAGTTTTCTGAGACTACATCTGAACTATTTCTGGTCCTATGGTTCTAGGAGTGGTTAACACAAACTAGTGTTGAAACTTTTATATGACTATGGGGAAGAAGAATGCTTGAACAAAAACTCTTTAACACTTAGGAAGGTGAAATTTAAAGTCAACAGAAGTAAAGGTGATAGGCAGATGTGTTAAATAGTTGTGAGTTATTAGTTAAAGGACTAAGGAAGCAAGTTAATATCAACATAGGGAAGATCAGTAATACACTGGTAAAAGTCAGCTCCTCATATAGTTCTACTATAAGGGGGGATTATTTAAGAAAGTTTCAATGCTCTGGCTATAAATATCAGTATATGAGAATACCAACCTCTCTTAATATATTAAAAACCATTAACTGCAAAGATGTTATTTTAAAAACAGACACTAATGACTATAATAAAGGCAGAACCTTTAAAAATAAACATGAAATTAAATGGGGACCCTATCTAATAAATTTAACTAATCTTCCAGGGTTCAATGCAAAAAAGTATGTATTTGCACAATGGCTCATTTACATAATGGTCTTACCCAAACTTGAAGAAATGGAGTGTTCTTTCTCTTTCTATATATTTAAACACTTTAAATTTTTTTTCCAGCCTATTGTTTCTAGGTTCTAAGCAGGGTCAGGCTTCAACTCCATATGTTTTTTAAAGGACCCAAGACAGCCCAGCCAGTGTGGCTCAGTGGTTGAGCATTGACCCATGCACCAAGAGGTCACTGGTTTGCTTCCTGGTCAGGGTGCATGCCCAGGTTGTAGGCCCAATCCCCAGTGGGGAGGCATGCAGGAGGCGGCCAGTTGATGTTCTTGCTCATCAATGTTTCTCTCTCTCTCCCTCTCCCTTCCTCTCTAAAAATCAATAAAGAAAAAAAAATTTTTTAATAAAAAAATAAAGGACCCAAAACAGTCTTAAAATTGAATCTAGCAACGTCACTTCTATTTACACATGAACTGGTATTACTAATTTGGATTACACAATTTTAATAAGTGGCAACCTAGTAAATGAGCTGCCAATATCATCAGCAGAATCGAAGGTGGTAGTATTTATACAACTAACTGGAATCTGGCCTAACTGGGCTGTTGGAGCTAATTAAAAATTGAAGTTCAAGTTCTCTCATGTCTGCATAAATCTCCATGTACAGAAATCATTACTTACTGTTTAATAATAAACTGGAAAATGCCAAGATGAGATGTGAGCAACAAGCAATCATGCTAAATTCATCACTGTTCTATGTTTCATGAGCACATAATCTCTATTTGAAGCGAGTGCAATAGGCCACTTTCAAAACCGAGTTCTCTTTGTTTTGACCCCCCCTCCCCCACTTTCCTCATTCTATAGCACCAAATATACTGGTTTGAAAATGGGAGACCTCCAAAAACCTAATTTGGAAAATATACTGAACCATATACTAGAAACTATATAGGAGGGGCCCAGGAGTAAAAAGCAAAAATCGAAACCAACCAGTTTTGAACTGTAGTCCAGAACCATCTGTTCAATTTTCTTCTTTTCTACACCCTGTAGGTGTCTCAAAAGGTGGTCTTTTAGTTCAGACACCATCTGAAAATAGGATATAAATTAGATAAGTTGCAACCTATCCATTCACACCTGCAACTTGTTTGAATTAGATACATTTATTAAAATTTCTTATTAATATGAAAATATTGGATCTGAAGATCGGGCCAGCAGAAATGCATAACCCTCAATCTTCCTCTGATGAGCATAAATCAGGGGCATCAATGTTTCAAGAGCAATTATTTCTGATTTATCCAAAGTCCAGAAAGCAACTGAGAGTCAAGCTCCAGGCTCTGATGAGAATTCTCCAAAGAATTCCAAACAAAAGTTATTTGCCATATCCCTAGATATTTTGTCAGACTAAATTCCTAGAAATGGAATTTGTTGGGTCACACACTTAAGGTTTGTGGAGACATCACCAAAATGCCTTCCATTGTGGTTACACTAATTCTCAACTGTACTGAATGAGGCTGTCCAATTCCCTGAATCCTGAACTTTGCTAGTGTGATTTTTTTTCTTCTTCTTCTTTTTTTTTTTTTTTTTTTGACACATGCCCCTAGCAGCAACCGAACCCGGGACTCTCTGGTCTGCAGGCTGACGTTCCAACCGCTGAACCAAACAGGCCAGGGCGCTCGTGTGATTTTTAAATTGTTGTCAATTTGATGGGCAATAAAAAACAAACAATCAAAAACACATGTTCTATTAGTCATTTGATTATAGCCATGGTAAAACAAATATTTTCTTCTCCTCTCCCAACTCAAGATGTTTGGCCTAAATTTACTTTTTAAAAAATTCATTGGTCACAGTCTTTATTCATTTCCTTCTGCTGTGTAGTTCTCTTATTGATCTATAAACTACTTATATACTAAATGTTAACCATTTATCACATATATTGCAAATATTTTTTCCAAATTTTTTTTTTTTTTTTTTTTATCCTCACCCGAGGACATTTTTCCATTTTTGTTCAAGTAGAGTGGGAGGGAGAGAGAGGAACAGAGAGAGAGAGAGAGAAACATCGATGTGAAAGGAACACATCGAGTGGCTGCCACCCACACAACTGACCAGGGACGGGGACAAACTGCAACCGAGGTACGTGCCCTTAGCGGGAACCGAACCCGGGTCTCTCAGGACCACAGATCCTGCTGAGCCAAACCGGCCAGGGCCCAAATTTATTTTTTGACTTTTGTTTTTATGTTTTAGGTTTTCAATCTGTCTTTTTCTATATGTCTATGTTCAATAATACACTAAAAGGCCTTTTCTATTTCAAAACTATTTAACTATCCAAATTCTTTCATAATGTTAAACATCTTATATTAGACTCTTTTATTTATCTGATAATTCTGTTGGTTTATGGCAGCAATTTTCAACTGGTGTGCCACAAGAATTTTTAAAACATAATACCTGACTATTTAGTCAGGGACACTGACCTCTTTTCCCTTAGATTATCAAATAAAAATGACAACAGACAACACAACAGCCCTCAGGTGTGAATGAATCAAAATTATACCTATCTTTTTTGGCAAAAAATGTATTTTTTGATATGCTGCAGAATTTTAGTAATTAGTTTGTGTGTGCCAGGAGATGAAAAATGTTGAAAATCATTGGTTTATGGTATAAGGTGGTGGTACTTGGGATAGGAAGAATCTAACTTAATTTTTTTTTTTTTTACAAATAGACAACCATTGACTGGTTGGTTTATTAAAAATAATTTATTTCCACGTTGACTTTTAAATGCCTCAAATATCATACACTACAGATTCTAATTTAAACTAGCTACTGACTGTCTATTTTTGTACAAGCACCATATTGTTTCTATCAGTGTAGATTAACAACACATTCAGACATCTGGTAAAGACAGTCCCACACCTCTTTACTGTATCAGTGAGTCATTTGGTCGACTGTCAGAGAAATATATTGGCTTTTAACTTGTATGCTATTAACCTAAATCCTAAGTACTTGTAAATGGGTATTGTTTTTCATTATTATTTCAAACTGGTTAATCCTGATTTTAAAAAAGACAATATATATAGAATCACCAGCTTACTAATTTCTTCCTTATTTTTCATTTTCCCAGTTGATCATTTTGTTGTTTTGTAGCATTAGACAGTGTTAGCATCTTCTTTTACTTTTGTTTCTTATTGCATTGGCTAGAATTTCCAGAACCCTGTAAAATTTTAGTTAAGATCACAAGGATCCTTAACTTCTTTCTGATTTTAATAGAAATGCCTCCAATATTCCATTAACAAGGATGTTGGCTATTAGTATTAGATTATTCTTTGTCTTTTCGAGTTACTGTATTTCAAAAGTAGAATTTTACTTTTATCAACTTTTAGCATAGGAGATCATCATTTTTCTTCTTTGACCTAGTAATGTGATGAATTGCATTAATATATTTCCTAATATTAAACTTTCCTAGAAAGAACTCCACTTAGACACACTGTATTTTCAAAAAGACCACTGGAAAGTACTTTAAGCTTGTGGTATCTATATTCATAAGCAAAAGTGATCATGTCATTTAAGGTTATGCTGGCTTTTTTTAAGTGATTGAGAAGCTTCCCGCCCTGGCCGGTTTGGCTCAGCGATTAGAGCATCGGCCCGTGGTCTAGAGAGACTCGAGTTCAGTTCCCGCTAAGGGCATGTACCTCGGTTGCAGTTTGTCCCCGGCCCTGGTTGAGTCGTGTGGGTGGCAGCCACTAGATGTGTCCCTTTCACATCGCTGTTTCTCTCTCTCTCTTTCTTCCTCTCTCTCCCTCCCACTCTATCTGAACAAAAAAATGGAAAAGAAAAAAAAAGAAGAGAAGCTTCCCATCTTTTTTCAAAAATAATTTACATACCATGAGAATGACCTGGTCCTTAAAAGTCTGAAAGAACAGACTCATTAAATAACTTGGGGCCTTTTTTTGGAGATAGCCTTTGACATGCTTTTCTAATTATTTTATAATTATTGTGCTTTCAGGTCATCTATTTCTTCTTGGCTCAAGTTTGGTCATTCTATTTGCCAAGGATACTCTGTTTAACTAGAATTTTTAAGTGTATGAATATTTATTTATATATTTTTTTCTTTTTTTAACCTGCCATATCTAGTAACAGATTATACCATTCTTAAACCTGCACAGTATTAAAAATGTTTTATGAGACTTTCCTAATATCTCTAATCAGTCTTTTAAAGATTTGGAGTTATTTACCAGTTCTGCTCTTTAATTTATTTTTCTTTATATTTCTTTGGTCTTCCTAGTAGTAGTACTTCTTGAGAAAGAATACTTTATTCTGTTTTATTTTAAACCGAAATACTAATGCCACAAAGATGTTGCTTTTTCTTCATTTTAAAAACTCTCAATGTACATTTCCTTATGATGTTTTATAATTATATATTTATTGAAGCAATTGATTAATGTGTGTCTCCTCCACTAGACCATAATTCCAAGAGGGCAGAAATCATGTATGTGTTCCTCACCACCGAACACACAGAGCCTACAGTGGCTGGACACAGCTGTGTTGAAAGAATGAAAGCGAGATCCGAATGAAAAGTACAATCTAGCCCTTTCCTCTTTCTTGGGGCCCATTGTTTACTAAACAGCCCACGGACCACTTACCAGCCCCACAAGCAGCCTCTGGTGGTTGTCTTCCTCCTGGAAGAGGGGTGCCAATCTTGGCTCTGAAACTAAACAGAGCAATTGTCAAGCAGGGTGGTCTACAGGAAATGGACTGGAAGCAGAGCAAAGCCTGGGTTTCCCCGCTCTTAGTCATTGGGAAAACTTAACAGTTCCCAGATAAAATAAAAAATTTTCACTAGGTAAGCTGAACTTCTCATTCAGGTGACTTACAAAGAGCTCTGGGCAACAGAGACAGGCAGAGACCAGGAGGGAATGAAGGGAGGGAGGAAGGGAGGAGGAAGGAACACATATGTCAACACCAACAGGCTCTGGCTTTGATTTCTCTTCAACACAAAAACTCACCACTGTCTGAGAATTTCTGCTTCACTGGAGACAGAGTAACCTCTCTTAACTCTAAGGGGGACGTAAACCCAGGGACAGGGACTTGGTGGAAGGATCACATGACTCCCTTCTTTCTGGCCTCCCATAGTTCAGTGTCTTTGGGAATTACTAAGCTGAGGGGACCAGTCAATTACTGTGGCAATAATACTAATTGATATAAGTTATCAGACTGAAAGACAACTAGATCAAGATGGAAAAGTGGCATGTAAGGTAAAATCAAACAGCACTTCTCCAATGTGTCTTGCACTTCACCAGCAAGACCAGAGGGGCAGGCGAGCAGTCTCTTTGGAAGATCTGCCCTAACACTCCTTCTAATGGCACCTCAGTACCTCTGCCCAGCTCTTCCTGTTTCAGAGCTGCTGAGGCACAGCCCCTGTCAGGAGGACCAAACTACACTGGTCTGAGCTGACAACTCCTGTGGGAGAACGTGGATGCCTCTGGACGCCTCAGGAAAAATCCTATCTGGATCCCACACAACCTTCCTGATTAAGATGAAACAGTGCAGGACTTGAGCCTGGCAGCCCTGAATTTCACATGAGTGTTCCGTTTCTGGCAGTGATGTCATCCTTCCTAGGAAATTAGCACAAGCAAAGCAGTGCGAGAAAGGGACAAGTTCCCAAAAGGGTGTCAAGAGAAAATGACTAGTCACAGGATGCAAACAGGCCTAACAGACAGGAGTGGGAGGGGAGTAACAGGAGCTGGAGGGTGGGCACAACAGAAATAGACAAGACCAGCAACATTTCCTATATTGCAAACCCCTGGATCACACACATTCACACCCCTGTGCACTGGGCAGGACCCTGCCAACTGCTGCTGCCTGGTGCTGGTGACAGAGACCCTGGCTTCCGACATGGATGACCTGGTGACAGAGCAGAGGCTGGTCCCAGGGGCTATGCAGTGGGCCCAGGTTCTGTCTGCCTGAGCTGGCTGACAGGTTCACTGTCACAGTTCATGTGGGTTGTGTGCACAGCTGTGGATGAGGAGCAACACACTGTATAAAATAATTTCCATTACGGTCACTCAACATATACCTAAATATCTAGGCCCATAAAACAGAAGTGAGATATAAAAAACAACAGCTTTTAAAATAAAGACTGACTTTTATGAGCCATGAAAAGTTTCACTGACAAAACCACAAAAGGGCTTATATCTGACTATGCTTAGCCTTCTCTTCCCCCAGTTTCACTAGCTAAGTCCCCGTCCTTCCCCGCTCCTGACCTCGCCCCTCAACACTGCACCCTGTACCTGGCTTAGTAATTATGTGTTAGCATTTCTTCCTCATACACTAATGACAAACAAGCCACCCCAGGTATCCCCCATGTGCCAAGTGCTATAGTAGGTGCTATAAACATTATACATTTACTCTCCTTTTTTCCTCACCCTTACAAAATGGAGGACCACACAAAATGAATAAATGGCTTGCCTAAGAGGACACAGTTAGCATGTGACCACGCTGGAACTGAAGCCCGGTTCTGTCTGGCTCCATGCCCATACTCTCCCCCCATAATCACAGTGCTTACCTAGAGGCCCCTCATCTTTGTGCCCTTATGACCTCGCCAAGTGAGTGCCCAAGTATCAACCAAAATGAAAGGGCACGCAAGTCAAAGGCCCTTGTATAACAGACAGCTGGAGGGAGCACAGCCCTGGGCCAAGGGAATTTCCAAAGTGCATCCTGTGGTACAGCCAGTGGGCATGTTAACTAGATCAACTCCATGAGGGAAAATAATGAAAACCAGAGGCCCACACTCAGGGACCGTCCAGTAAAAGCACATTCAGCAGCCGTCCCTGAAGGTCCTGGTGCCAAGACAGACATGGAAGAAGCGGAGTGGCCACTTGGACAGGAAGATAGTAAAGGGAGCTGCCTTCACTACCCTGCTGTAAGTGGTTTTCTTGCCAAGCCACAGGGGAAGGACGAAGGGTGTTACAAACAAAACACTGGCTGGAATCCAAAAGGCTCAATTACAGGTCTTTTCTTACCCAAAGTCTTTGCTTCTAGGTTAGAAATCACCCTACAAAGAAATTAGCCAATGTTACTCACACAGGAAGAATTTTTAAAAATAAAAGCCACAATACCATACAAAGATTTCCTCCTTTAACAAGTCATAAAACCCCTACAGAAACTGTTCTCAGACTGGTGAAAACCTCAAAAACTTTAATCAACTTGGCAAAAGCTACATTAGACCATTATAAAACTCAAATCCCTTTAGTACAAACAATGACAATAATTTAGAACAATTGCAGCTCTCAGTTATTGGAAATAAAGAGAACAGAAAATAGAACAGAGTACTTGTAGCACTCTGAGATGACTCGCTATCCAGAAAATCTGCTTTCAAAATAAGAGCAAGCTCACCAGCACGCTAATACTTTATTATTAGTAGTAGTAGTAGTATTAAAACTTATCTTTATTGTTGAATGTATCATAGATATTTCCCCCCACTGACCCCCTCCTCACATCTCCCTCCCCCCTCCTGCCTTCCCCACACTATTGGATCTATGTCCATTGGTTATGCACATATGCATATAAATTCTTTGGTTTATCTCTTCCCACCGCTCCCCTTCCTTTTGAGGTTTGCTAGTCTAACCTATTTGTAGTTCTCAATACCTTCACCTTTTTCACCTATCCCCCTAACCCCCTTCCTGTCGGGCAACCAACAAAAAGTTCTCTGTATCTATGAGTCTGTTTTTGTTCTGCTTGTTCATTTTGTTTGTAGACTCAATTGTTGATAGATATTTATTTATTGTTACTTTATTGCTTATATTTTTTTATCTTTTTCTTCAAGAAGACACTTCAACATTTCATATGATACTGGTTTGGTGGTGATGAACTCCTTTAGCTTTTTCTTATCTGGAAATCTCTTTATATGTCCACTGATTCTAAATGATAGCTTTGCAGGATAGAGTAAGCTTGGTTATAGGTCCTTGCTTTTCATTACTTTGAATATTTCTTGCCACTCCCTTCTGGCCTGCAAAGTTTCTTTTGAGAAATCAACTGACAGTCTTATGGGAGCTCCCTTGTAGGTAACTGACTGCTTTTCCCTTGCTGCTTTTAAGATTCTTTCTTTGTCTTGAACCTTTTGCATTTTGATGATGTGTCTTGGTGTGGGCCTCTTGGGGTTCATTTTGTTTGGGACTCTCTGTGCTTTGTTTCCTTCACCAAGTTAGGGGAGTTTTCTGTCATTATTGTTTCAAATAGGATTTCAATTTATTGCCCTCTTTCTTCTTCTGACACCCACACAATGCAAATATTGGTATACTTAAAGTTGTCCCAAAGGTTCCTTATAGTATCCTCATTTTTTTTTTCTTTTTGCTGTTCTGATTGGGTGTTTTCTACTTCCTTATATTCCAAATCAATGGTTTGCTTCTCAGCTTTACCTACTCTACTACAGATTGCCTGTAATTATTCTTTATTTCAGTTAGCACGTCCATAATTTTTCACTGGTCCTTTTTTATGCACTTGAGCATCCTTATAACCAGTGTTTTGTTTTATTTATTTATTTATTTATTTATTTATTTATTATCCTCACCCGAGGATATTTTTCCATTTTTTGTACAGATAGAGTGGGAGGGAGAGAGAGGAAGGGAGAGAGAGAGAGAAACATCGACGTGAAGGGACACATCAAGTGGCTGCCACCCGCACGACCAACCAGGGCCGGGGACAAACTGCAACCGAAGTACGTGCCCTTAGCGGGAACCGAACCCGGGTCTCTCTGGACCGCAGGCTGACGCTCTAACCGCTGAGCCAAACTGGCCAGGGCTATAACCAGTGTTTTAAACTCTGCATCTGATTGATTGCTTATTTCCATTTCACTTTGTTCTTTTCCTGGAGTTTTGTTCTGGTTCTTTCATTTGGGACATACTTCTTTGTCTCCTCATTGTGGCTGCCTCCTTGTGTTTGTTTCTATGTATTAGGCAGAGTTGCTATGTCTTCTAGGCTTCCTAGTGTGGCCTACTGTAGGTGTCCTGCAGAGTCCAGTGGTACAACCTCCCTGATCACCCCAGCTGGGCCCTCCAGTTGCATCCCTCATGTGTATTGTCCACCCTTCTGTTGTAATTAAGTGTTGATTGCTGTTGGCATGTCAATAGGAGGGATTTACTCAGGCTGCTCAGCTTCAAGGACTGGCTGTGTCCACTGACTACTGACTAGAAGCCTCGGTCTGAAGCTGTCCACTGGTTATGCTGGCTCTGTGGTAAGGTCAGCCTCTGCCTATGTTCTACCCAGGGCTACCCGGCATAAGCTACAAAGTGATCTGCAGATGGCTGCTTCTTGTGCTGGGCTTGGAGGTGCCCAGGAAAAGCCAACCTGTGAACCAAGGTTGCTGCTTCTAGTGCCAGACCTGGAGCCACTTAGGGAGAGGTACAGGGCTTGCTGAGGCCAGATGCTGCTTGAGAGAATTTAGGAAAATCTGAAGCAGGAGCCAAAACAGACCAATCCTATGGTAAAGCCACTGGAAATATCTTGGGTGAGTTCAAAACTTGGGTAGGGCAGGACCTCAGGGAATCACTAGGTAAACAGTGTGGGCCAAGTAGCTGGAGTCCCAGAAATGGTGCCTGTCTGTCTGCCCTGTGTGGGAAGAGCTCACCAAAGGAACAATGGCCTCTGCCAGCACTTCTGTCTGGGAGAAAGCTGCCTCTCCAGCTCTTGCCCCAGTGCCAAACAACTCAGTTCTTCCCTGTATGACCCTGGTGTCTTTCAAACTGCCTCCCCATCGCTGGAGCCCAGAAGGAGTAAGTCTAAGTAAGTCCATGGGCAGCCCCTTTATGAGGAACTGCCTGGGCCTCTAGAAGCCTCAGCCTCCCTCAGCCTCAATTCCCACTGGTTTTTATAGCCTGAAGTTATGGGGACTTCTCTTCCTGGCACTGGAACCCTGAGCTGGGGGCCTGGTGTAGGACAGGGACCCCTCACTCCTCAGAAAGTACTTTCACAGCCGAGGTATCCCTCCTGATTTTTATCCGCCACACGTGGGTGTGGGACCAGCCTGTCTGTGTCTCCACCCCTCCTACCAGTCTCCATGTGGCTTCTTCTTTAATTTTGTAGTTGTAGGACTTCCATTCAGCTCTATTTCAAGTGGTTCTGAGGGATGGTTGTTCTGTAGTTTAGTTATAATTTTGATGTGGTTGTGGACGAGGTGAGTACCACATTTACCTACACTGCCATCCTGACTGGAAGTCCCCCAATAACACTTTTTAAAATCAGCTTACTGTCTGTACCCCACTAAAGTGCTCAATAAATAAGAGCTTTGTTTACCACTTTCTTATCAACCATCCATCTATAGGATACAAACCTGTAAGGCTTAACAGCTAAACTTTCCCACTAGAAACCCCTATAGGTCCAGGTGGCTGCACTCTCAGTAAGCTGACAGCATCAGACACAAAGGATACACAAAGAAAGTAAGCTGTTTCCATGAAAGGTAGCCAACAAAATAATGCAAACAGTAATCATCTTATGGATATAAGAATCCCCAATTTTACTTACTTTACTGCATTATCAAGAATATTCTTCACATACACCTTGGACCTTCTTTTTCCTGTTTTCTAGGAGTGAGAATATGTCAGAGGTGTGAAAGGTGAAGGTCTTGTGGGTGACATTTCTCACATCAAGGACATAATGTAATATAATTAACAGTTTCAGAAAAAAGAAATGTACTTTCCAGGTAAAAAGGTAAAAAAAAAAAAAAAAAACTAGATTATTAAGAAATTGTTCCTCTGAAACTATTATAGATTTACAGGAAGTTGCAAGTCAGCTATATACAACAATACTACAACTATATACAATAGTCCTACAGAGAGATGTCAGGTACTCTTCACCTGAGCTCTCCCCAATGTTTATATCTTATATAAATGACTGTACATGGTACACGGTCCAAATCAGGAAATTGAGACTAGCATAACGAGTGTATAGTTCTGTCATTTTATCACATGCGTAGATTCATGTACCACCACAATCAAGATACAGAAGGGTTCCATCACCCAAAGAAGCATCAGAGAAGCCCCTGTGTCTGCCTATTGGGAGATCAGTAGCAACAACGTAAAAGTGCCTGGTAACTGGGGAGGGTGTTGCAAATGTAAGCCAGCCTTATGACTTGCAGGTATTACCTGGATCTAACATGCCATGTTTTTGCCTCTTGCTTTGTTCTCATGAACCCACACATACCTCTTCTGAGATCAGGCTGTGCCATTCTCTCCTGACCACGCTGTTCTTATAGTGTAAGTGTGGCTTGGAGTACTTAACATATTCCAGGTTGGCGTTCAGTTTTTCCCAGTAGTTCTTAAAGCTATGTACCTGTAGGAAACAAAAACATCAGCAAGCTCGAGCAGCAAGCCTTGTTGGCCAAACTACCCAGAAGGACCACACAAGCCTGCTGCAAACCTGGGCTCCCTTACTTCCTCAGCTCGTATGGCGCAGCATTTCCAAGTGAATACTTCCCATGAAGTACAGCATTCTCATCCCAAAAGGGATTCTAAAATAGAGAGACTTAAAGAGTCTTGCTTTCCCCCATTTCCTTTCCTAACCCCTTTTACATGGAAAGAGCTGCTGCTCAATTCCCCAAACTGCTATGAGTCTCCTAGGTTAAGGCTAAGTGGCTCAGCCTATGTTAAGCACACAGAGTTGCATCAACAATGCCATGTTCAGTCAGAGAATGTTCATGAGATTTGGAGCACGTGGACTAGGCTTACCTTCCCACCAAGCTTATTTACTTCCAAAGGATTTTTTTTCAAAACCTAGAAATCAGAAAGTCAAAGTGAACTAGTTTCACATTCAGTTGTCAAATACTCCAGAACAGAATAGTTGGCGTCCTATTTAGGTCTTTGACTTACTGATATAATTGTACTACGCTGAAGCAAGAATGTATTCATTAGGTTACTCTTTTAATTAAATGCAATATTATACTTTTTTGTAAATGTCAAAGGATATACTGACACGAGCTATTTTTTTATAATCAATGAGGATAAATTTATGATACCCACATTCTTGCCAAAAATATGCAATTATAAAAGATTTGACTGGGGCCAATGGTGCAATGTGTGGCCATAAAACAAAGTGAGCTAATGCCTACTGCGGTAACAGACTTGGCTGTATTGCAAGAGAGAAAAGAAAAAAAAGAAATAAAATATGCCTCAATCAAGAAATGTGCCCTTGTGTTAAATAAGAGCACATTATCCAAATTCTTATTGAAAAGACTCTAATAATTGGTTCAAAATGGATTTTGGAGTATCCGTAAAGTGAGTTATATAATAATAACTTGCTGTTTTAGGAGACTGAAAGCCCAGTCCAGTCAACATTCCTTCTCATAAAGACCAAAATCTATTTCCAAGAAAGTGTCATTTCCGAGGGAAATTAGAAAGAACACTGGAGTCAGGTTGTACTCCCCACCTGACTTATCTCATTCACCTTTTCTTTCCCTTTCCATTTATTTATACTGAATATATCTTTATTCATTCCTTGGCCTTCCTTGTATTAAAAAAAAAAAATAATAATAATGAAAGCAAATCCTGGCGACATTTGGCAGTATTGGGTCCCTGATGGGAAGTCACTGCAGCGTTCTTGCCAGGCTACTTCTGGGCTCTGGCGCACTACAGCTGAAAGCCAAAACTCACTGGTGTTGTGGTGACATCTAGTGGCCAATGAAGCTATTAGCTCTGGCTGATTTGCCACAGGAGTTACACCATGTGGTCGTCCAACTTTGCTCAGGACAAGATATGTGAGGGGAGGAATGCTGGTGTCCTTCTACCTGTCACAGGGCCTCTTCTCCTCAGACCAAACGCCACCCTCCTGTCAGAAGCCGCCACTCACACACCCACACTGTGGCCCCTAAGAAATAACCTCTCCCAAACTACTTTCCTTCTCGTTTCCCCACGTAAAAAAATCCCTTTTCTCAGCTGAGAAAAAACAGGTAAAACAAGTCATGGACAGGCTTCAAAGGGGCTGGTGAAGCCACTGATGGTGTGTAAAATGGAGCGTATGTTTGTATGAGCACTTTTCTAGGAAGGTCTATAGTTTGCACCAGATTTTCAAAGGAATCCATGGCCTAAAATAGTTGAAAAACACTGAGTTTGAAGGAAAAGAATCTCAGTTTAAAACAATAATAGCAACAGCTTACATTTAAATAAGAAATACTGTCAGCCAAAAGTCCCCAAAATATTTTAATATAAACTTATAGGTCTTTCAAGGAGGTTACTGGGCTGCATGTTATAGTTATTGAGAGAGTACAGACAAAAACAATTCATAGCATATGTCACTGTGTGGTAGCTACTAGACAAGTGATGCAACCTTTTAAGTTATAAAAATCCATGGAGATCATTGTAAATTGGAAGGTCTGTTCAGAAGTCTGGTTAATAAATGAAACCCAGGCATGAAGATGGATTTGAGTAAGTGAAGGATAAGAAGGATGTTCTACAAGGGGCTCTGAGGACGTGAGTGAAGACTGAAAGACCTAAATGTGGATTTGGGGCTTAGATCAGAGGTAGAGCATTAGAGGAGGCAGAGAAAACAACCACCGACACTTCGTTCTTTTTTTGGGGGGCGGGGGGAGGACCTTCTCCTAGCGGGAACCAAACCCAGGACTCTCTGCTTCCCAGGCCAACGCTCCAACCACTAAGCCAAACCAGCCAGGGCTAACATCTCATTCTTTGTGGTGAAGATGCCTGCCCCTAGAGTTGATTCCAAACTTCAGCAACCACCTGGATCCCATCTCCTAGAGACTTAAATGGTTTGGGGTGTGACTTGAGCCTCCTGAGTTCCCCAGGCAATCCTAATGTTCAACCAGGGCTGAGCACACCGCTTGAGCATGTGCAGGTAATCCCAGTCTCGACTCCCACCCTCAAACATGTTCCCCAAACTGCACCTCTGGTGTAAAGGCTGAAGAAGACTGTGACTGTATTGTTAGATAATAGCATTAAAGAGGCGGTTATGGCCAATCTGTGAAGGATCTCAAATGCCAAGTTAACACCAGCATGCTCATTTACCCAGAGAATAAAAGAAGCCTAAGATAAAATTTTAGATATTGTAACGTAATATTGGGGATGGGGAGGCAGGGGAGAAATGGAAGCTGCACAATTACATCCTAACAGCCAGCCTGGGAGCACAGAAAACCACTCTTCTCAGTCCACTAGCGCTCATGGAACTAGTTGAGTACAGAGCGCTGTGTCCATCAGAAACAACTGAGCAAAGTGAAAGCCCAAGAAGCACATACCAACTATTAAATAGGACTCACAGACCTTTAAAATACACACACACACACTTTATAAGAAAAATACCCATGAATTTAACTGCTTCTGGGAGACTTGGTGTTAGAAGCCATTAGATACTCCAGGAATGATCCAGAAGCATTTTCCTGCTCAAGGGGGAGTTTAAACTTTGATTTTGAAAGAAGTCTCTTCTTAAGAAATAATCTTTTTTTATCTCCTAGGATGACATGAAATAATTAACAAATGTAGACCATGGCAACTATTAATTGAACAAAGGGATGAAAGAGTTACATTAAGGGACTGTTTTCTATTTATGACTTGAATTGCCAGTTGATTTAAAGCAAAAAAAATTCTGTGGTATACTGGCTCATCAGCAAATTACCATCAGGAGAAAATATCTGCCCTTCATTCCTAAGCAGCCCTCTGGCTTTTGTCCTAAGTCTTCTGATTAACCAGCATCTTCTTAAGGAGAGGAAGCCAACTCAGAGAGAACCTTTACTCTCCATGCCAGGGCTCAACCAGCAGAGCTAAAGCTCCATGCACGTTGGCTCTTCAGTGTATACCACCTCACTATCAGCTTCTACTTGCAGCCCAGAGAAATATAAGGACTCACTACCTCCAACACAGACAGACTAAAACAGAAGCATCTGTGTGTCCATAAAGCTAGCAAGGCACTATACCAAGCCAAGATGTTCTAGTAATTGGAATGCCTCATGTAACAGTGAAATGCTCAGCCTCTCTGACTGAAAGCCTGTATTGTCCCCATGGCCTCCAGGTTAATAGCTTCTGCATAGTCTTGCATATAGACATGCTAATCATTAGAGGAATTGCACTTGCACCTTGAGTTTTACAAAAACAGTCCCTTACCAGAAAGTACTTTCCCAAGAAGATAAGAGAAGTATGTACAAAAATAATAATTGTGTATCAAAGATTTGCAGGAACCTCAAGACTGGACTCACATCAACTAGAGTCAATAGGCTAAGAACAAAGAAGTTTCACAATCTTCCTCAGATCCCTGCTAGTGCCCAGATGTCTGCCATCCTCAATCACCCCTTGCCTCTCTCTCCCCTTTTACCCTTCCTTTGATATAAAAGAAGCCTGAATTTTGTACTTTCTCAAGATGATTCTTTGGGATGCTAGTCTACCATATTCTCAGCTTGCTGGGGTTTTTTTTATTAAATTTATTGGGTGACATTGGTTAATATGATCATATAGGTTTCAGGTATGGGTTTCTATGTTACAAGACACGTATATTGCACTGTGTACACATCACTCAAAGTTAAATCATCTTCCATTACCATATATTAGGCCCCCTTCAGCCCTCACACTCCCTCTCCCTTCCCTCTGGCAACTACCACACTCCTGTTTGTATTTACAAGTTTCAGTTTTATATCCCATATATGAGTGAAAGCATATGGTTCTGAGCTGTTCCTGCCTGACTCATTTCACTGAGCATAATATTCTCAACATCCATCCATGTTGTTGCAAATGGCAGTATTTTATCCTTTCTTATGGTTGAGTAGTATTCCATTGTGTATATTACCACATCTCCTTTATCCAATTGTCTATTGCAGGACACTTTGATTGTTTCCATGTCTTGGCCACCATGAATGATGCTGCAGGGAATGTAGGGGTGCATATATCTTTGCAAATAAATGTTTTCAAGTTTTTTGAGTATATACCCAGGAGAGGGTTTGTTGGATCATATGGTAGCTCTATTCTTAATATTTTTAGGAATCACCAGATTGTTTTCCATAGTGGCTGTACCAGTCTACATTCCCACCAGCAGTGAATGAGGGTTCCCTTTTCTCCACAACCTCTCCAACAATTATTACTTGTCTTGTTGATAATGGTCATACTAACAGGTGTGAGGTAGTACCTCATTGTAGTTTTGATTTGCATTTCTTTAATTGTCAGTGAGGTTGAGCATCTTTTCATATATTGGCTGTTTGTATGTCTTCTTGGGAGAGGTGTCTGTTCCGGTCCTCTGCCCATTTTTTAATTGGGTTGTTTGGTGTTGAGTTTTATGAGTTCTTTATATAATTTGTATATTAAACCTTTGTCAGAGTTATTGTCTGCAAATATCATCTCCCATTTGGTCGGCTGCCTCTTTGTTTTGTTGTTGGTTTCTTGTGTTGTGCAGAAGCTTTTTAGTTTGATAGAGTCTCATTTATTTATTTTTGCCTTTATTTCCCTTGCCTTTGGGGTCAAGTTCATAAAATGTTCTCTATGGCCAAGGTCCACAAGTTTAGTACCTATGTTTCCTTCTATGTAATTATTGTTTCAGGTCTTATATTTAGGTCTTTGATTCATTTTGAATTTATTTTTGTACATGGGGACAAACTATAATCCAATTTCATTCTTTTGCATATGCTTTCCAATTTTTCCAGCAACATTTATTGAAGAGGCTATCTTTACTCCATCATGTGTTTCTGGCTCCTTTGTCAAAAATTATCTGCCCACACATGAGGTTTTATATTGGGCTCTCAATTCTGTTCCACTGATCTGTGTGTCTGTTTCTCTGCCAATACTAT